ATCATTTAAGTTATTTGCGAACAAAAAAGGACTAAAGATTATTGTGGTGTTGTCGGGAAAATACATTATTTTATCTTTTTCATTAAAAACTGTCCAAAAGTGTTGACAAAAATAGGTCCGACTAAGACTTAGCGAGAAGGTAACACTATACATTAGTCAAGCGTATATTTGTTTTTTTTATATGAGAAAACTAAGTGGAACTATAGGTTAGAACTATAGTATCTATCTTGTCTGAAATGTAGGAATTGGTTATGACGTAATAGCTTCATAGATTTGCTTTTTCAAATCTCTGAGGTTGACATTTTTAACTATTTGAGCATAATTTGAAAAACAGAGAATATTGAAAATCGCATCGCAATGTTGGTCAGAAATAGCACAAAAATGTTCCGAAATTGTGCAGCTTTACTGAACCACATTTGAACAACACCTCCATAAGTGCTTGGTCTCTCTGAGTACTCCCAGCGATCACATTTGTTTTCCACATTTGTAGCAACCCATACGATTGAAGTGATTGTTTTTCTTGTTCCGACATAATCCCACACAGAATCCCGGAGCTCGCAGATGCCAGTCCAGCATCGTTGTTGTGAAAATGGCCCTCAAAAAAAGTTCTCTTCTTATCTTAAAGATCGCAGTTCAAAACATTCACTTTCTCTGCCAGCTTTTTTTACTGCCCTTGAATGAAGCGCCTTAAGACAAAGAATAAAGTAAGCAATGTTTAAACACACAAAACATGTTACATTTGATGTTGAATGAAAAATAAAAACTTTTATAAGACATAGTAATCATTAGACACAAGTTGAACATAAATGAGAACAATCTTTATGGAATGTACACGAGGAGAATGCACCATATTGATTATAATGTCAAGTGCTGCTGCTTTGAGGAGTGTCAAGTCATACAACTCAAAAACTGAGATGAGCGAAGCCCGTGTGGCCCGATGGCACATCTGTGGTTGATTTCCCAATCACTTCTCAATCTGGAATCTTTGTCCAGTGTCATTTCCATCAGGCATTTGTCTGGACGCACCCAGAATGCTGTTTGTAAAGTCCACTTACAGACTCAGCCAGGGTCCAGTAATTCTTCCATTCATTAGAAATGCTACATTACAGAATCTTCTACTATAACAATATAGTAATAATAAATCAAACATTAGCCTGACCAGCCTCAACTCTTCAAGAAACATATGTGGAATGATCATTTTCACTTTCTAATTTAAGACAAAAGTGTTGGATATCTGTCCTGATCTCCCAAAATGTGATGTATTTGTTTTACTTTTTTTTTACTTTAAAATATATTTTTTAGAATGATTATGGCCTTAAAGGAACTGTATGCACTCTGAGTGGTTAAATAAATTCCATCACAATTCAACTTTTGTTGCCAGAGTCGTGTCTGTGACACATGTAGCTCCTGAGCACTGATTACAGGTGTAATCCACCTTCTGTGGTTTAGCTAAAAACAGTACACGTACTGTGTGTTACATGTACAGTAAAGTGGCTACATATTCAACGTTGGAAACAAATAAACAATCCTTAATCTTGAATATGATTGTAGTCGACCTATTATCTAAAAGATGCAGTTGTAATTAAAAATGAGAATTCTACAAACTGCATGGCCCCTTAATACCAACCTATTATGATAATTCAACCTTCAAACCTTCCCTTCAAAATAAAGGAGGTATTTTGAAGTTAAATATAACAAATACATCACACTGTAGAATGGCAGTACACTGGTATGCCACTGATACCAAAATATCCCAAAAGCTGCATAACCTCAGTAAATACAGTAATAAATATTGCTAAAAAATATGCCACATGAGAAAAACAAATATGATGTTATGAATCCAGTCAATATTGTGGCTATTGAAAGAGATGGATTTGATTAGACCTAATATTATAGAACTAAAGTCATCTGTGAGTGAAACACAGCATACTGTAAATATCCCAGGATGGCCGGCCAGGGCTAATAACTACTGTAAATATATGCACTGCCCCTACACATTCACAAAGAAATAACATGACTACATCAATTATTACAATGAGGTCTGTATAAAAAACAGACAATAATGTCAGCCAGGTTTCAGCGGGCTCACTGACACATGCATGCACCCACTTCAAAAGTACTTTACGTCAATCCAACATGTTTCTCTTCACTACAAGTACTTCATGTTTGGGATGCATGCGAAACAGCAAAGCGACAAACAGCAAACAACATTACGTCTGATTGCTCCTTCACACAGTTACAAAATAAGTGTGGAATTCTTGATGATTTCCTGATGTGAAATGTTCAGAAAGCCAATTTCAGAAATAAACGTTTTAAACACAAAATTGTTTAAAATACGTGTGACGGCTTAGACTTGACCTTTCATGAAAAAAACTATTATTAGAAGTTTTTACTTAAATCTCATCCCATTGTTTTTGGGACTCACTAGAATCTTGGTATTTCGTCCCAGTGCAAGCTCTTCTACCCTTAACCCAATGTTTTCTATTGAAATATTGAGTGGTATTCAACATAAAATACTTAAAGTCTTTAATGTTCACTCCCCGCTATAGAAAAATTGAATTGAATTAAATTGAATTGAATGAAAGCATAGATTTCTATTCAATGAAACTTCTGCTGCTTTGTTCCATTGACATTTTGTTATAATAAATTCAAGACAATAATTGATCCCTAAACCTAACCGTTCCAAATTAACTGTTCATAATCATAACCTGCCTGTGAAGAGATACTAACACAATTGGAATATTTCTCTTTGCAAGGGACAAAAGACCAAGATTAAATTGAGTGCCTCCTTTTTTTCAAGATACATTAACTTCCGGGTTGTATATAATGGCATCATAATAAGGATCTCAAATTATGGGATGAATGAATGTGTTTCACTGTTAATTAAAACAACCGAAAAGCTTGGATCAGTTCACTATATTTCCTGCAAAGGATTGAAACTCCTGAGGATATACTTCTTAAAACTTGCGAGCATTGGTGAGGTGTCGTCAAGCATGCTAGCAACAGGTCAAAAAGAGTAAATTGGTGCCAAAGGTCCAATTATCTTGACAGGTTGAAGATGTTGGACATGAATGTTAAAAGAAATCACTTCAGCAGCCGGACCAGCCCCATAGAAACCGAAAAAGCGTGCATGAAATGGTCAAAGATGGATCAAAGTATAACTTGTATGTATACTGGGATTATGCTTTGATCACAATTCAGGGCACAATTGTTGGTCTGATTCACTTTAGGTTAAATATGCTTTACTTGTGGATATAAAACAGAACAAATGATCATGGTTTACTTATTAAGTCAATTAACATATTTTAAATGGCAAAACCTTTTTCCCCAAGTGAACCAGACCAACAAGTGAAATTATATCTGTTTGATTGGTAATAACAATTGCGTTAAATGTAGTTCCCAGTGTTGTACTGACAAAAGCCAATGATACAAATGCTTTACACCCAGAGCCATAGTATAGCTGGACTTGCTTAATACTGGGATGGGGAAAGCCTGGAAAACACCGGAAAATATCTATAACAACACTATAACATTTCCTTTCTTCTAATGATTTTTGAGTGTTTTTTATTCTCTTATCTATTGTTTGCATATTTACTTTTGTAATGTAATCCGAGACAAAAGCTGTTAGAATTTAGCCCAGTCTGAAGAGTATGTGAGTGAGTGGTTTGAGGGGCTGGTTGCACAAAATGTTGGCCTTTACGTAACCAATCAAAACTGTTATTTTAGTGTAGTGTATGAGCCAAATGTCATTCAATAATATGATTACAAGTATGTATGCACGCAACACTAGGCAACTTTTTTCTTTTCCAGTGCAAAATCCACAGGTTTAAACATAAAGAAAACAAAGTCTGGAGCTTCCTTATTATGTCAGTGTTGTAAACGTTTGGTCTCTCTACTTTGGCCTTACAGAACTATACCATACTAAAATGTAAACCTTCCCACTTTCAAAAAGCGTACAGCAAGAGTAAGAGACATGTATGAAATGTAAAGAACCGATACACATAGAAATCCTCCAAGACTTCCTGGGAGCAGCTCTCCAACCGGTCTCCACTTCCACATACAAATATATGATTGTATGAGCGTGTTCTCTTCCCATGCCCTTTCAAAGATCATGCAAAACAGTGCAATACATTTTGTCTTTAGAATAGATACACAATAAGTAACACGTCGTCACTGTTGGAGGTACAAAGCTTTCCATCGTTGTAACATTAGAAGGTTTTACAGAATAGGAACAGGGCAACTCGACATTCAAAGGAGGAGAAGTAGGAAAGAGGCTCAGTATTTCAAAGCCCTTTTATTATTTATTTCTCTGCAGATTTCCAAAACTCAATTATGTCAATAGTATTACTTAAATATTTCTTATCACGTGAACGCACCATGTCTTCTTTGAACCACTCACTCAAACTCACTCCTGGTTTGGGTTTGTCTTAACTAAATTGAGTATTAATTATTTGTTTTTACTTGAGGTATCTTATTAGGCACATGGCGTTCTCTGGTTCTGTGTTTCTCACTGGAAATTCCCGGGACCAACCATCGCCATATAAAGTCAAGCCGGGACAAATTAGAACTTGATTCAGTATAAAGGTAATGTAAAATACTGCATATTTTTGCTACGTATTGTTTTATAAGCATTGCATTACATGGACAAAATCACTTCTAAGTACTCTGGAATCGAGGAAATAGATAAAACACAGCATTGAAATATGGACATTGGTTTTTAAAGTAACTCATTTGAGAAAAAAAACCACTAAAATGATCCTGTGAGTAAAGTTTGGGTTCAGATCACACCATATTTAACGTACAATATGGTTGACAATAATTGGCAACCATTTACTGCATATAAAAGACTTCCCAATAGAAATACTACATAATATTGTCTCAAAAATGTGTTCTGACCTTGTAAAAATCTGCAGACAAATAAATAACCAAACAAGTGGAAGAAGGGAGAGACGGACAGAAGTCTCTGACAGCAGTTTGGACCTGTCCGTGCAGATGGGTGTTCAGTGCTGGCGGTTGCCGTACATGAGGGGAATGATGAAGACTGAAATGTCATCTCCGGAGCCCAGCCTCTCGTTGGTGATCCTCCAGCCCCTGTCCCGTAGCACGCCTCGGGCACGCATCACCAGGTCCTGAGCCGCCATGGTGTATCTGACAGAGAACGGCATACAGTGTGTTTGTATGGGCGTTAACTTCAGGTTCAGGTTTTCTTCAACAAAGCTATTACCAACATTTTCATATTCATTAAACAGTTACTGTATTTACTGAATATGTGTGAAATTAATTGTTTAGGATTGAAAAAAGGCTCATTTTACCATTTTCACTATACCTAGTGCATTTATTCCTGGTGTCAAGAACTTTTAGCACTAAATAAATAAATGAGGTATAAACAAAAAAAGAAAAAAATATTATTTCCCATGACTTTAAGAACCTTCTATGATACAATTTTTCCACAACCTTCATTACTGATAATATTATAGAACAAACTAGATCATTATCAGGCACTGTCATTTTGTCTCGAGGAAGTAGTGAGGGGTAAAGGGGTGAGACCCCTGATCTAGTATGTACAGTCTGGTGAAAAGTCATGTTGCGCAATGATGAATGATTTGCATGGTATTTAATTAGTCAGTATAAGCGTTCATCTCACCTGTGCAGATCATCCGGGTCACAGTTAGCGAGAAACGTTGTGACAGATTCAGCCACCTCTTGGTTGGAGAGTACGTCCCAGAGTCCGTCAGTTCCCATCACCAGGACGTCATCTGCTCCGTGCTCATACTGCATCAAGTTGTACACTCTCACCTGGAGCCAAGTCAACATGCAGCGAATGTAAGTTAGTATGATGCAGATGAGAGCTTAATCATAGCATATTACAGCCTTGTTATCACTGCTCAGACATTGTTAGTAATTCAAACTAATCTCCAATCTTTGAGATGGAGTAACCACTGAGTCGAGCAGGACGGGTCACAGAAGAATCAGAATCATTTTTATTGCCACGTAAGTAACAGGAAGTCACAGACTTGGAAATTGCTTTGGCTCAGTGCAACAGTCAGAAAGAGATAATAAAAAATAAAGAATGAAAAACACTTCTAAGGAATAAATTAAAATTTAAAATAGAGTTACAGTTACTATTTACAATATACAAGTGCACATGGTGCACACAATGTAAGGTGACAGTAGTACAGTGAAGTAAAGTGACGTATGATGGGCAGTAAAGTGACTTTATAAAGGGCGGGGGGACAGGTTAAGAAGTGTTCAAGAGTCCAACAGCAGAGGGGAAGAAACTGTTCTTGTGGCGGGAGGTTCTAGTCCTGATAGGCCGCAGTCTCCTGCCTGAGGGGAGTGGTTGGAATAGTCCATGTGCAGGGTGAGAGGGGTCGGCTGTGATACGACCAGCCCGGCCTCGAGCTCGGGCGACGTACAGGTCCTGCAGCGATGGAAGGCTGCGGCCGATCACTTCCTCTGCAGAGCGCACAATGCGCTGTAGTTTCTGTTTATCCCTGACTGTGGCTCCAGCGAACCACACGGTGATGGAGGAGGTGAGGATGGACTTGATACCAGCATAGCAGCATAGTTAATGGAGCCTCTGGGTGGAGCAGGACAGGTCACAGCAGCACAGATGCAGTTGCCTCTGAGTGGAGCAGGACGGGTCACAGCAGCAGAGATGGAGTAGCCGCTAGTTGGAGCAGGACATGTCAAAAGGTGGAGTAGCCGCTTGGTTCGGACACGCTCTTCCCTAACCTGACATACTGTGACCTCACAGTGAGGTATTTGTAAATCCAGTTGGTAAAAATGAGATCATCCCTGATCTTCTCCAGTTTCTCCCTCAGTAAAAGAGGTTGGATGGTGTTAAATACACTGGAGAAGTCAAAGAACATCAGCCTCACATAACCTCCAGAGCCAACCAGGAAGGACACGGACCGATGGAGCATGTAGAGGACCGCGTCGTCCACTCCCATGTTCTCCTGATAGGCAAACTACAGGGGGTCAAGAGCCTCCTCCACCTGTGGCATGAGAAGTCGGCCTCTCAAAAGTCTTCATTATGACAGACGCTTGTGCCACTGGTCTGTAGTCCTTGCATCCTGTCGGCCTTGCTAACTTGGGGACGGGTACCAGGCAGGAGGTTTTCCAACACATGGCTCCTTCAGCTCCAAACTAGTAATACCCTATCCAGATATTATAATAGATCCATGGCAGGGACAAATCCAGTCTGAAGACTCTTGTTAAAGATGGTATAGAGAGGCTCTGCTAACGCCGCTGTACATTCCTTCAAGAGGCTTGGCCAAGCTCCCCTGGAACTTTTTTAGCTCCACCCATCCTCCACGGTGAAAAAGGACGCAGCATCAGGGGTGGTGCAGCTGCCGGGAGGAGCAGGAGGACTGGTCACAGCAGCAGAGGTGGTGTAGCTGCTGGAGGAGCAGGACTGGTCACAGCAGAATCGGCGTGGACAAGGGAAGAGTCGAACCGGCTGTAAAAGTGGTTTAACTCATCAGCATTCCCGGCCGCCTGCCACTCTTCTCTTTGTATCCAGTATGGCCTTCATGTTGGAAGTCTTAGAAGGATGCAGCGTGAAATCAACAGGGGGTTTGGTGCACTGTGTGCAGTGATGCGGTTGCTGTATTGTACCATTGTGGTGAAGAGGGAGCAGAGTCAAAAGGCACAGCTCTTAATTTATCGGTCAATCTATGTTCCCACCCTCATCTATGGTCATGAGCTTTGGGTAATTACCAAAAAAATAAGAGCGAATACAACATGAAAAAGAAGCACATATAAAAGATAGATTATGGAAAATATTATTAATTCTTACCTCAGGTATACATGAAAGGAATGGTTTAATGAAGATGTTTGAGTCATGGACTTTGAGATCATGATCTCCAAGTCCTCGTGTTACTCCAATAGTCGCCAAAACTCGTGCCTGTGAAAAATGTAAAAAGATTTAATTTTACTCTGATGTACCATTCAATAGTTACTGATCATAAAGCCGCCATCTTGATTCCATATAATCCCGCAGCTTCACATATCTTTACCCTGATGTCACGCTCTGCCATTTAAGTGGCATTGTAACACCCAAACATGCTAGATTTTGTATCCCCCTTTAAAAGAACCTTTTGAATGGACTGATAGCTGTGTTGAAATTTGAGAACATTATCATGCACAATTTTCAACATAATACATGTTGTTTAGTACATTTTTAAGTAATTTTAATTTTATTCTCTAACAGTTAATCAAAGTAAATAGTATTTACTAAACTTAATTCTCAAGTTTCACCCCTCACATTTGGGTGTAGGGTTTGGCAATATGTACAAATAAAACAAATAAAATAAATATCCTAAATCTCAGAATATGGCCATGTTTGGATCAAATGATGTTTGGCTTCCTTTACGTGTAGGATAAGATAAACCTTTACTCGTTCCCCAGAGGGAAAATTTCAATGTCATCATTGCGCACATTACTGCAGGATGAATGGAGGAACTTTGCAACTGTAGATGCATTATAAATTCTGTTACAAAACCAGTGAAGACAAAAATCATTAGACTAGCCTTCATAGTGAACAAGGTACAAAGCTCCTTGTTGAACTAACTGAACGACGGGGTGGATAACCTTTAGACCAAACTTGACAGCATTACAGCCTGTTCTGTGTGGAGGAGAATCAGATCAGATTTTTTGACACTGAACACAAAGCCAGCATGTATCTCAGAGCCTTCACCCACTCCCCCTGAAGCTTAACAGACAGGCCCCATAAATGTAAATGTCAAAATGAACCACATAAAGAGAGTGTCTCTGGATTGTACCAGATCTGGAAGGGATGTAGTCCACTCAGGCTTACCTTCTTGCCCTCACCAAATATCAGAGGGAACTTGAGATCATCATCCTCAATGGTTTTATATGCCCTGTATGTCAGAAAAAAGAGGATTTAAATAAAGAATATTGAATAATATATAGTGAAATATCAAAGGTCAAACTGAATGTACAGTAAGTGAAGTTAAGAGTTGTCCAGTTCCCCAGAGGCAAAGACAATAGCTGCGTTTCCATTGAGCATCAAATTTCGAAATTTGAATTTGCGCATCATAAAATGTCTAATGGAAACGCGCAAATGTCGAATAAACCACAGTTTTTCGATAAAAAGTTAATGCGCTTAAAATAGGTGGTTTTTTGGACGTATCGAAATTAAGTTTTTCGCAAAACGGCAATGGAAACACTTATTTCGATATAGCGGAGGAAGCCGAGCTGCTTTATTCAGTGAGTTTTGGCTGCGCTTCGTGTGGAGACTTGGGAGATACGTGGGAGAGGCATGGGGGAGAGACGGGGGAGAGACGGGGGAGAGGCATGGGGGAGAGACGGGGGAGAGACGGGGGAGAGGCATGGGGGAGAGACGGGGGAGAGGCATGGGGGAGAGACGGGGAAGAGACGGGGGAGAGACGGGGGAGAGGCATGGGGGAGAGACGGGGAAGAGACGGGGAAGAGACGGGGGAGAGGCATGGGGAGAGATGGGGGAGAGGCATGGGGGAGAGACGGGGGAGAGACGGGGGAGAGGCATGGGGGAGAGACGGGGGAGACAGGCAAGACCCGTGTCTATGGTTCTGTGCGCGCGTCTATGGTCCGCGCTCGGTACATGACCACGCGCGTTCGCGGAGCTGTCAAAGCAGCCACAGTTTCTCCCGGGGTCAGAGAGGATGAGAGCCGCAGCAGAAGTCAAGACATTAATATATCTCACGTAAATCAAAGTGTTGTTTACTTCTGTTGCCATGTTGACGTACTAGAAACTAGTGAATAAACGCACGAAAATAGTGTATACTTATTCGAATATGTCTTAATGGAAAGGGCCGCTTTTGCGAATTACAGGTTTTTCGAATTTTGAAATGTATCGAAAAAGTTTTTGCGCATTATTCAATGGAAACGCAGCTAATTACACCTTTATGCAACCAGTGATCCCAGATCAGTTTTAAGTGGGTTCCAATTATTTGATCTTGATTTTGATAACTAATCAAAGGGTGCAGGATGCACACATATTGGATTTAGTCCTGGTTTAGTTCTCCATTAGACTCAGACTATAAATCCCATCCAGGTTTCATCCTTGTCTAGACACTTGGTTGAGCACTGGTACAGAGCAGCTCACAGTACTAAACAACTATGCATGTATTCTGTTGTTTTCAGAGTCCAAAGGTTGTCATAATTTGTATTCAAATGTCAGAAAAGTTTGAATTGAACCTGAATTGGTTGTAGACATTGAAGAATAATGGCATGAATCATGATTATCTGTATGGTTTTGTCACAGTTGGAGGAATCCATTTCACATGTTTAAAAATGCAGGTTTTTTGGATACACGCACAACTTTAGAAAAGCGACTTAATACTTTTGGAAAAAAAGCCTCGTCCTGCGTATCTGGCAGGTGATTATAGTGGAGTTTACGTTAAGTTGAAATTGAGTGAGTAGTTATAAACAAAGACGTCTTTTTCCTATAAAAACATCTTCATATACACAACACCACAACATACAAACAATACAAAACAGCTACTGTATAGATGGTCGCATGATAGTCAGAACTGCTGCAGTGGCACACTAGAGCGCTCCTCTCCTCATGGGATGCCTGTCTTAGGCTAAAATATATCTCACAAAGCACAAAGAGAAGCCAGTACACTGCTTGCAGTGTGTGTCAGTGAGTCTCATTACTGGCTCCTTCTGCAGCCCCAGACAAACAGCATGGTGCCTGGCTAACCCACATAACATCACTGCATCCAGCCATTCATGCTCTGTCATTATATCACATCAACTTTAGCCTTCTGCCCAATTATTTTGCTGCTAGTCTTTCTGCTGCATAAAGGCACATACAGTATAGGTTGGAAGACATGAGGAAGCAGTTTTACAGGTGTAATTTATGGCATAGAGACTGAGACGCAGGATTACATAATTGGATATCTTTTTTGAATCATCGGCTAAGTGCCTTCACCTCTTCCCATCCTGCCAATATCCACCTATTGAATGCATGCAATGCATTCTCAGGAAACAATCAACCCAATTAGCAATAATTTAAATAAAGTCAATCAGAATACATTTGCAAATCTACAAACAGGACTACAAAACACTTCACCTTTGGTCCAGTTCTGCTTGAATTCAAGCCTAGCTTGGACTGATTCCCATTATTAATCATGTATTTCAAAATTATCCACAATGTAAAAAAGTGAATTCAGAAAAAGCATCTCAGACGCAATAAACTATAAGATTATATAGCTATAAAAGTTAAAAACAAATCTTTCAATTGAGAGGGTGAGCAATGGAGGACGCCACATGCCTGAATAAGGCCCCGTGCACTCGTAGCCGGGTATCTGCTAAATCAAAGATATTTTTTTGTACGTCACAATATGCCCCAAAACAATAGAAAATCAGCTCTGGCATCAAACGTGGGACCACTGATTACTGTAGAAGCATGAATCTCAATGCAATTTTTTTATTTTATTTTCATGCATGTTAGCAATGCTTTACTTATTTTTATTTTTAGTTGGAAACTATGATGAACAAGAGGTGACTGCTGCCTCATGTGAAATGCCTGAAATGAATAAATAAACAAACAAACAAACAAAAAGTCAATGGTGACATCCACCCATGCGGTGGGTAAAGCCGCTAAATGCATTCAGCGAAAGCAGGAGATGAACATCCTCGCTCCACACACGTGCAGCAACCAATAAAGAGAGCAGCAAAGTGGTCCCGAGGACTCACGCTGGTCCAAGCAGACACTCGAAAACAACCAAAACAGGAGCTAAACCATGTATGTATGTTTAGCCTGATGACTAATAACAAAGCCAAATATTGTTTATTGAAGGAACTATAGAGAATTTTATTGAAGCTTTGGAACAAATTCATCTTGGTCATTTGTTGACCTGTTTTGCAGACTTAAATTGTTTAATTTCTATTTATTAGTTCAATTATTTACATTTTGTATCAATTTTTGGATAATATTTTGTGTTTATATATAGGAAGACAAATGTGAAAATGTTATGTGATAATGTTAGGATTGACCACAGAAATGGGAGGAGATCTTGTTGTGCCTTACCAGCCGTTCATGGTGAAGTCGCGGTACAGCATTCTCTTGCCCACTTCTTTCCTCTGCACTCTCCGGGGAAATTCCAGATGTGTGAATTCGTTTCCTAACAGGTGAGGCTGCATGAAGCCCTGCGCAGGTATTAAACAAATGTGAAGGAAGGAAACTTGATCCTATTTTCATGACTTTTGCTCTGCAATTTAGGAGACCAGGGGTGGGGGGTATATTTACTAAATTAAAACTGCATTTTAATAGCAAACAAAGGCCAATTGCTCATCATTGATTCAGTTAAATTATTTTTTTTTTAAAGTTGAAATGTGATGTGAAACAAACAAAATGTGGATCCCTGAAGAGAAAAAATACTAAAGAAAATGTTAAGACAATTATAGGTAGATGTTTGTGGGAAGCCAGGTCATTGTTTAGAAACTGTCCTGGATTCAGAAGCTCATGTAGCAATTCTGCTAATTTGATGCCTAAAGGGTTATTATGTCTTTTATGCATGTAAGAATATTTTTTGTGGGTTTTTAGCTTCCTGGCAGTTGCATGCAACAATTTAAAGATCTCCCATTCAAAATATACCTATTGTGTTTTAAATTGCTTTATAACTAAAGCAACCAACCTTCTTTCTAATCATTCAGTAACTCTTACTGCTGCAGTAAAAAATACTGCTGCAGTTCCATTTTTGATTGCAATTATCTAATTGTTGAGCCCTGTCAATAAAACAATTATATAAATAAAAGAAATGGACAGATATTGCTAACACAAAAAAATATTTACAAATACTTTGTTAAGGTTTACAACAAAATAGTTTCTCACAAGGAACTGGAGCCGTTGTCTCTCCGTCTCAGGGGTGAACTCTGTTGACATTGGGATGATCTCATTGTTTCTAACGATGATGGCTCTGAAAAGGAAAGCACATATATAAATTATATCATATTTGTTTCAATGGGTTCCACTGTGTCAGAGGTGCCCACTTAATCAAGCCAAGCTCTACCTTGGTTTTAAGTGCGAGTGTAACGATTCAGAATATCATGATTTGGTTCAATTTTGTTGGCAGGAAAAAAAAATTGATCTTAAGATGAAAAGGGAGATGTTTAAACTATATACTGTGAATATTAACGGATGTAGTAACTCCTATCCCTGCCATTGAAACTTATGTGTCATCACTTTTCCCTACCACTGTCTTTTCTAAATGACAGCGGGCAGTCCCTCCCACAGGAAAATGCAAAAAAACGCATTTCTGTATGCCAGTGCGAGCCCCATTCATATAACAAGTACATTCAAAAGTTCACGGCCGCTAAACTAGGCTGGTACAAACAAAGAGGAAAAATGCGGCATTAGAATGCACTGGATAATTCTGTTTCCAGGTATACGCCACCACCAGCAAGGAGTTAGATTACAAGCAAGTCAGCACACAAGCTCATGGACCCTTTTAGCTGGGACAGCCCCCACTGGTTTGAACCAATGAAACATGGTTGATGAGCACCAAGGATTGGTCTACCTCGCTATCCATGATCAACTAGTTTGGTGTTTCTCATATCATTCACTAAAATCATGTCATTAACTAACATCTCTAACATACCTGAATGAGTCAATTGTATATTCTGTACTGTGCGAATCTTTGTTTTTCTTTTGTAATCTATGAAACGTATTTTTGTCTGAGAGGACCAGGTCTGCTGTTAGCTATATGGCCTATGAACATGGCATCGGCTACCTAACAATGCTTTTTGTTCTGTCCCTATCAAATGAACACATAATAATAATAATAAATTAGTGCTTGGTGTTCATACAGTCTACAATGGCGGCATTTCAATCAGATTCATTTGATGGATGCTCACACCTTGTTTACTACTTGGCTTGAAAATTCACTGTCAGATCGAGTTGAGCAGCGGCCATGTTTGTCTTTAACCACAAGAGGGCAACAGTGATGGACAGCTTCACATTTGGAGCATCAGCTGTGCATCAACCCAGCAGAGGATAAATATTAACCACCTCGAGCATGCATGCTCCTTGTTTATGAAAGAAGACGCACACATGGCAGGCTTTTCCCTATGCACATGTGGTGAGCAAGTGGCAGTGTGGCTATGTAGCTACCCATCATGCCTCTGTGATCAATATAGTTCTGATCTTGGTTGGCATAATCCTAGTACATGAAACATGAAGAAGAAACATGGTAATAAACCTCACAAAAAACGATTACAATTTTGCTGATGAATGCACTCTGCAATTCCTTGTGGTCTAATGAGGTTTCCTTTTCAGACATAAGGCACAGAACAGAGCTCACCTGCTGTCTCCTGCATTCCCCACATAGAGTTTGCCGAGGAGGTAAATGACTGTGAGCGCAGTACAGCCTCCGGAGATGTTGAACACGTGTCTCTCTCTTTCTACCTGTGCATCCTGACAAGAAAAGCATGCAATAATAAAACATTTTCATAAAATATCAATTAAATAAATCAACTAACAAATAATTGGAAGTTAGTTTGTTCCATCATTTTGAACTACCGACAGATAAGTTTGTGTAAGCCCTCATTCGTACAGGGATTAGTCAAAGCAAAGGAAGGTTTCTCACCCATCATCTGTACTTCTTAGCAAGTTTTCCCGACGTTTCGTCCTCAACCTAGCGGACTTCTTCAGGGAATGAATTCTCGGACCGCGCGTTGGAGATTTATAACCTATGGGTGTGGTAAGCCACACCCTAATCCTGATACTAACTAAGAAAAGTAGGAGGAGAGGGGTGTCCTTACCGTATGTGGCGGGAGTTTCAGAGAAACTACAAAGAATCTTTAGGCAACACAAAATCCCTGTGTATTTCAAACCTTTCAACACGTTAAGACAGAAATTAGTGCATCCCAAAGACAAAACACCCAGACACAAACAGAGCAATGTGGTGTATTCAATTAAATGTAGTGAAGAGGAGTGCACGGACCACTATATTGGAGAAACCAAACAAACTCTACAGAAACGACTTTACCAACATCGTAGAGAAGTAAGTAAGTAAGTAAGCTTTATTTATATACCGCCTTTCACAGACCAGAGTCACAAAGCGGTTTACAATTGTTATTTTTGGGCACTTGTCCTCTCACTCCACACAGAGATGGGAGCGGGGTCGCCAGTACAGGAGGCGCATGCCAGACCTATTGGACATATTTTTAGTGGTAGGGGAAACCGGAGTACCCGGAGGAAACCTACGCAGACACAGGGAGAACATGCAAACTCCACTCAGAAAGGCCCTTGTCCGGCCGGGATTCGAACCAAGGACCTTCTTGCTGAGAGGCGAGAGTGCTATCCACTCAGCCACCGTGCCACTGTGGCCGACTCTAGTGGGCCACAGTCGGCTGTTCATCTCCACCTCAAGGCCTCCAACCACACGGTGGATGACACAGAGGTTAAAATTCTGGCTCGGGAGAAGAATTGGTTTGAGAGAGGGGTGAAAGAAGCCATTTTTGTGAGGAAACAAAAACCTTCTCTTAACAGAGGAGGAGGGTTAAGATTTGTTTTGCCTCGCATCTATGACGACATCCTTAAAACAACGCCCTAACTTGGGACAAGGTCAGTGACATGCTAATGAGTTAGGAGGGGTGAAACCTGCACTCCACTTGAGCATCCCAGCAGACAATAGGTCTGTGACATGCTAAGGAGTTAGGGTCGTTAGCCTCAGCAGGGTCGTTAGACCTGCTCCCTTCTACATCAAGCAGACCTTAGATTGTTTACGAGTTAGTATCAGGATTAGGGTGTGGCTTACCACACCCATAGGTTATAAATCTCCAACGCGCGGTCCGAGAATTCATTCCCTGAAGAAGTCCGCTAGGTTGAGGACGAAACGTCGGGAAAACTTGCTAAGAAGTACAGATGATGGGTGAGAAACCTTCCTTTGCTTTTACCGACAGATAAGTAATTGTTGGAATACATGCACTGGAACAGTTGTTTTATTGCCTGTTCAAACATCCTTTTGAACTCTAGATCACTGGTTCACTCCTGTTTTGGATTTATGTTATTGCTTTTTTTGTGTTCAGTTCACCAATATGCTTCAAGTCTATTTCTGATGAGACTTGATGGAAGGGGAAGAAATGTGTTGTAAAGAAAATCTCTGCTGTCTATTGCCATCTAGTGGAGTACAAGCACCAGGGCACTGAGGCTGTTAGCACTAGATTATGTACAAACACAGTATAACATTCAAATGAATACATATTTACTATGAATGTTTAACACGAATACGATGAAGGGGCATTAAACTGGGTCTAATTGTGTTTTTATCTCTTAGTTAAGTCTTGTGATTGACAAGACTGTCAGTAACTTGACAAAGTTAAAACTACAACATCCAGATCCCTTCAGATCTCTGAAGCTAAGCAGGGCAGGTTTTGGTTAGTACTGTGAAGGGAGACCTCTGGGAACACCAGGTGCCACAGTGAGGCGACTGCATTGACACTTGACCCACATGCCTTGAATGAGTCTAGAGTGTGCTTGAAGGATTGGTGGTGGTCGGAGGGGCAAATGACACATACTGGTTGCCTCACTTCTGTCAGTCTGCCCCAGGGCAGTGGTGACTACAGCACTAGTTTCTCCCCACTGTGTATGGAGTGAAAGAACAATGACATGTGAAGTGTATATAAAACCGAGGCATTATTATAATATCTCATTACAGCAATTCAAGGGTTCAACCAATGATATTTCCGATTTCTTAAATCCAATACCTGTTGCAACAAATTTCTTCTGGATATCTTTCTTTCTTAATAGTGCATCAACAATTTCTACAAACCGGTCTGGTTGATGTGAAAGGCTCTCACCATTTCTTTGAAGGCATTCTCAATTGCACCTATGACTAGACTCTCATGCACGACCCTCTTCTCTGTGAAGAATCTTGGTGGAGGTGGGGTGTTAGAAGGTGACCCTGGTGCTCCTGCTGCGCCCCGAAGTGAAGCTGCCCTGGTCAGTGTGGGTCTGTGTGGTCCCAGAGTGGTTCCCTGGAGGTAGGGGTTCTCTGGCTCTTCCCCCAGAATAGTGGGAGCGGGAGAGGCTCCGTTTCTGAGGATTTCAATAACAGTTTGCAGCTGACAGGCAACGTGGTGCTGTAGCAATCTGGATGCTACCACGGCTGCTCCTGATCCAGCATGACCATCAAATAAGGCCCAATAGTGGTACACCAGGCCTTCATTGTCCTGCACACAAATATATTCACAAAAAATACATGTTACACAATGTTCAGTTAAAATTTAGTTTGTACTGCATATCAGAATGCAGAGCATGTGATTCAAAAATGTTTTAAGGGAATAATGAATGCTTCTATTACAACATTGTGACTTACAATACAATAGTAATGCATTTTACCTGAATCTACGCCTTTAAATTAGTGACTCCTAACCTAATCTTGTATCATGTGGCAAAGTTTTAGTTTACCAAACTATAAACTAATTTTTGTTTGCAGTTTTCAAACTATACCATATAAGTTTACCAAAACAATGAAAGAAAATATTGTATGCGGTAAAAGTCTGCGGTTCCTCAAATATTCAGCAATTATGAACAAAGGAAAATATAATAACAACTACATTGAATCTTTAAAGTTTGACCTAGCTCTTGTTATTGTACAGAGTACTGTTGTAAAGAGTACTGTGCCCCATTCATAAATATTGTATCTACCCACTGTGTGAATTAGGGGTCAAACTGATCATCAGTCAATTGGCGCTGATTATTTTGTGTGGGGTATTTTTAATTTAATATATAGATCTATAACTCTATGTAGGAGTGGGTGATATATCGATATTTACAATGTATTTGGTCGGCACGGTGGCTGAGTTGATAGCACTCTCGCCTCTCAGCAAGAAGGTCCTGGGTTGGAATCTCGGATGGAACAGGGCCTTTCTGAGTGAAGATTGCATGTTCTCCCTGTGTCTACGTAGGTTTCCTCCGGGTACTCCGGTTTCCTCCGGGTACTCCGGTTTCCCCTACCACTAAAAATATGTACAATAGATCGGGCATGCGCCTCCTGGCGACCCCGCTCCCATCTCTGTGTGGAGTGAGAGACAAATGCCCAAAAATAACAATTGTAAACCGCTTTGTGACTCTGGTTTGTGAAAGGCGGTATATAAATAAAGATTACTTACTGTATATTGAGATATTCTTTAAGCTTGATATGTATTTTGACATTTTGCATATAATGATATGTTTATATTTCACTTTTGGTGCTTTGCTTGTCTGTCTTCTCTGCTGCTGTAAACATGCTCGGAGGGAACTAATGTGTATAAAACATGCAGAGTGTAGAATATAGAAGAAGCGCAGCGAGTCCGTGGCATTTCATACAGCAATGTACATGGCACCTTTTGTTGTCATTGAACAACATGGTTTTACACCAGAGACTGTGAACTGTATGTCCATCATTACTTTATAAACAGGAAATTAAAACAAATGTGGTAGAGGCACTTTGTTTCAACATGAACTGACTCCTCGTTGAGGTTCAATAAAAAAAGATTTGGAGTTTGACAAATTTGTTTTTGCAGTAATTTTTGGGTGGTTATTTTGTAAAAATATCAAAATCTTTATTGTATTTTGTAATATAGAATAATATATCAAGATTTGTTTTTCTCCAAATCGCCCAGCCTTAACACTACATATTCAGTATTTCCCTTGAACATGTGAATTACCAAGTATAATTTTTAGTCCATTATAGCCTACTAGTTGAAATAACAATGACACAACTCAACTAAACCCAAACAGCACTATAATTCATTTTGATAAGATGACATCAAATACAGGATCTCTAACCTGATATATCTGCGGTGCTTAATCTCACCAATGTTGTTGTTACATCACATCCAGCCTTTACAGTGATCTATTTGTTATGGGTTTTGTTGAATAAGCATAGGCTTGAAGTGGACTTTCTGTTTGTGTACTTTCGTATTGAATGGCCTTGTATTGCACCTGCAGGTTTGAAATTAAGTTAAGTGTTGAACTTCGTATTAACTCAACATTTTGACTTTTACAGCAAAGTAATATTGGCTCCACATATCAGTTATTCAAGAAACAAAAACAGGTGAGTTGACTTTAATACCTCTCCCATTTGGCCATAGTCCACGTGCAGTGCATTGCTCTCTCCGTTAGGCAGGGAGTTGCGCCTCTTGGCTGTGGGGGTCCTGCTGGGCGTGGAAGGGGGGCAGTAGCTCATGGGACGTCTTCGAGTTGCCACCACCACCTCACAGCAGGCCTGGTCCTCGTTCAGGGCACTTTTACCGGCATTAATCACCCTGTGTACACATCATGAAGACACCACATGAAATTGGTAAAGTGAAACAAATGATCAAATTTTAAATGTTTTGCTTTGATAAATTACAAAATATCATTGAATAAGGAGAAAACTTGTTTATATACAACCCACAAATATTCATTTACCCAGATAATTTGTGTTAAATGACTCAAAACCATTGATTTAGTAAATAAGTAAGTCAGGTTTATTTATATAGCGCATTTTACAGACCAAGGTCACCCAAAGCGCTTTACAATTGTTCAGAGTTCAGATAGTTATTCCATTCTCTCCACACACGGTGATGACAGAAGAACACACTGGCGCGTCAAAGCCCCAACAAACACCACCCAATCCCCCCCTTATTACATCCATACCTAGTGTGCATGTTAGTGGTAGGGGAAACCGGCGCACCCGAAGGAAACCGGAGCAGACATGGGGAGAACATGCAAACTCCACTCAGAAAGGCCCTGTTCCGACCGGGATTCGAACCCAGGACCTTCTTGCTGAGAAGAATTCTAGAATACTGGATTGGATTATCATATACTTATACTATAATATTATCGTAGTAAATGCCGAATGGAATTGCTTTATAAAACCCTTTTTAAAAAAAAAAACAATTACAGACGGGCATGCAATATTGACATTCCACAATAATTAATATGTAACAATAACTAATATCTTAATTGAGTTCAAGATTTGTATAGGACAGAAAACAAACCACAACAGTTCAGAAATTGAAACTGCAAATGCATGTTTGAGAGGGATGCATTTGATCCAGATTATGGACAATGGAGACAACGATGCATATTTGGCATATCTTCAAAACAATTGTAGAGATTGTAACTATTTTCATAACATTTTATCTGGATACAGCTAACAAGACCTGAGTGTGAAAGCAGACATGGGAGGCAGCTGGATCCGTGTGGCAGTCGTCTCCTGAGGCTGTAGTGAGTGTGAGAGAGACTGACATGTGTATTTATAGACCCAGACTGTGGGCTGTGTTCTGGGCACCTTCCCTGTCTGCTGCCGGAGCTTATTAGGCCTTTATTAGTTTTGAAAACACACAAGAATTAGGACTGTGTGGCATCTTGACAGGCACTTTCGAGATACAGCTCTCTTTGGAAAGATTTATTAGCAAAAACAGAAAAGCAAAAAGCTTAACCCTTATTATAGCAGTATTTCAAAATGCAAAGTTTAAGGATTTTATTTTTAAAGTGTAGACCCATGTTTTCTGACAAGGGGGAACATGGAGGGCAGGAATTCAAAATGAAAAAAAAAAATAAACAACGCACAAATAAGTCGCATCATAATGGACGACAACAAGCTTATTATCGACATGGAGCCATAACATTTTCAAACATGTTTTTTTCAAGAACAGCTTAAAAAAAGAAAGAGCAGCGTCTGCAACAGCCCAAACATTGATGGTGAGAGTTTCACTTTTGCATGTCATTAGGCAAATTATTGTCCCTTATGTGACTTGTGCCTCAATTTATAACCTTCTTCAGCTGACCTACATGTAAGCAACGGGCTTTTCAAAATTAATCCTCACTATCTAACACAGAAAAATCTCATAAAGCAGATGAAAGCAAGCTAAGATAAGGGCAATCTTGATGTGCACTTGAGGACTTGAGTCATTCCTCCATTAAGAATACTGTAGTATACAATTCAATAAAAAATAGATCTGATAATGATCTGGCCTCCATGACAATCTGCTTTTAATGAAATTGTAATATAATAATGTAATATACTGCTAATGCAGAACGGGGTGGGGATAACAAAAAACTTGTGCGTACATATACATGTCCTCTCATAACAACTCGTCGTAGGTGATGAGTCAGAGTAGCACAATGATGAGAACCGTAACATCGCCCGGTACTGTCACAGTGGCCCCACCAGGAACCAGGCCTGGGGTTGAAAAACACTGGGTAACAAAAATATATTTTTTGAAAATAGTCCAGGGTTTTCCAGCTGAATTAGACTAATTTTGATACTCTGAGTCCGAAAATGACACTATGGCTGTATCTCAAAAAGTTGACCTGATAGAGCAAAATGCATGTGATATTTGGACTCAGAACACCAAAATTAGTCTAAATCAGTTGAGAAACCCCTGACCATTTTTTGGCTGTTGGCCTGTGAAATGATTCATGGGACTTCTGTGATACAACTCATTGATCAAAACATAAAATAGTTGTTTCTAACCAATCATTAGAAAATATCATAGATATTAGCATTCCAATTTTCTTGCCATACCCCAAACCAATAGTTTATGTCATAGAGTTTGCAATAACAAAAAATAATTGAGGGTTTAAAAAAGATTTATGAAAAAGGAGCCAAGCGGCAAAGTGCTCGCTCATCTTCTAGGTGAACTCTCACCATCATCTTTCATTCACATAATGATTATTTCATTTAAAGTTATAAAGTGAAAACAAAACACTGTATGATCAAACAGTGTAGCTACACCTCTGTCTGTTGAATATAGTTCAAACATTTTGACTTGGTGTTTTTTGTTTTGCTTGTTGCTGCAATAATGTGACAATGTCTCTGAGTTATGGTCTAGCTGAGTGCCCTCAGCTGAATTATAACTGGGCTGTGGTAATGGCCCTCTGATTATGCTGCAATAAAGCACTCTGACACAGCAGAACACAATGATATACAAAAAGCTTTGTCATGCTCCTTAATCATTCTCAATTTGGCTGTTCAATGCTTTATTCTCAGTACATTTCCATTCTATGGCGTGTATTAAACTAAAGACCCAGCTGGTGCTCTTGTGCAAGTCCTTATTTCACCATTTACACATATAACAATTTGAGTTTCTGGCAATCATAATTAGCTTCCTTTTCATTTGGAACCAAACTCAATTTCCCATCCATTGTCACATATCCAATGCCCTCATTGTCTGTCTGTCCTCCACCGGCGCACGGCAGAGGATGTGAGAAGTATTTAGTATATTAGTCCACATTAGTCCAGTCCTCAGGTCCCTGCACTGGCTTCCTGTGGCTCAGAGAATAGACTTTAAAACAGCTCTGCTTGTGTACAAGTCTCTCCATGGCCTCGCACCAAAATATATTAGTGACATGTTAGTCCCATATGAACCAGCCCGGACTCTGAGGAGCACAGGGACTGGACTCCTGTTAGTGCCCAGAGTCAGAACTAAACATGGGGAGGCTGCTTTTCATATTCATGCTGCTAAAATCTGGAACAGTCTTCCTGAAGATGTGAGACAGGCCTCCTCTCTGACAATGTTTAAAACCAGGTTAAAGACAGTTCTGTTTAGCTGTGCATACAACTGAGGGATTTTATACTTTTATCTTTCTTTTTAATGTTCTGTGATTATTTATGATTTTAATGCTTTCTTGTTTTGTTCAGCACTTTGAGTTGCCTTGTGTATGAATTGTGCTATATAAATAAACTTGCCTTGCCTTTTTGACAGAATGCAATGATGAAACTGAGAACATCAAAGGCATTGAACTTGAGCAAATGCAGGACTAACTAAGACATGCAGTATTTCAAAACAAAAGGTTCACATTCTCTGAGCCTATATTCTATATTAGTACATTGTTGAATCCTAATGCCCGTGTTGAAAAACACAAACATTATTTAAGTTATGTTAATGCTGATGTGTTTTCCTTTTTTAAATTTCAGAAAATATGACATCTGTGCCTTCTCAGATAAAGTGTTTACTAATGACAACTCTGATTGTCATGAACTATATTCTTATTGACAAAAAGTCATAAATAAAGAGAATAGAATAGAACTTTCTTGCCTGTGACTCTGTGCAGGCAGCAGAGCAGACATTTGCTCACTCATTCTTGCTCACCCTCTTTTTATGAAATGAGAAATATAAATAAACTTGAATTGACAATGAAAGAGGAAAATATAAGAAGATCCAATCAAAAATAAACTCAGATGTGGTTTCTAGAGAGGTTACTGGACAAATAGACAATAAACAGAATCTTGATAAATGATGTCAGCTGCAAACCCAGCAATTTCTTTGGACCAAAATGTTATAATCAAGTGATGGTAATCTCCTCAGAAGCAGGATATGCAGTTTGATAGTTGTTTATAATGTTGCCTATTTGTTTATTTAGTTTGGTATCATGTATGCTTGGTACTGTATGTTTGATGTTGATGATAATAACAATAATAATACATTTTATTTCATGGCGCCTTTCAAAACACCCAAGGACACCTTACAATACATTAAATACGTCATACAAGAATAAGCCAGTTTAAAAAGGTTTGAGATGTGATTTGAAGTCTAAAACTGTCGCAAGTCAAGCGGTAGAGTCTTTCAGAGTTTGGGGAGTGGCTGAATGCTCTGGCCCCATTTGTGGTCATTTTGACAGTGGGGACAGTGAGGGTGGAGCAGGTCACTCAGGTATGAGGCGGCGAGGCTATGGAGAGCTTTGAATGTTTAGGGTTCCCGACCGCAAATATTATGAAAATATATGTTTTAAATTTCATTGCCATGTCACTTCTAAAATTCCTTGCCGTCTACTGGAAATCACTTGAGAAAACCAATAATGCTGACCAGTTATCATTCAGACCAGGATGTAATAGCAGGATATAATTTATTGCATAATTTATGCACAATTTAAATCTAAAACCTTTATCTTTCCAGTATAAGGAAGTGAAAATAGCAATCACTAGTATGTCTAACAAGATCAATTCAATCAAGTTGATTGCCTCGATTAACAGGTGAATTTACAACACTTTATTTCTCTAATAATTTAAATTATGTGAAACTATAGCAGATCAGTTAGCGCAATTAGCACTGACTTTTTATTTCACGCAAAACCTCTTCATTCATTTCACCTCTATATGAATCATGCACATGTGCATTTACTGTATGTATGTGCCAAATGCACACTAAAAGGGTTATAAGATCACTTGAATCCAAGAGTACATTTGCTAGATTACTCAATACTAAAAGTAATAATGGATATTAGCAGCCCTAATCCCCATCAGTGTCAGTCGCTGGACAGAGGTTGTTGCTTGCAGATGACACAGTGGTGACATAAATAGAATAGGTTAATACCCCAGTCACCCTCTACATGTGCAAACCATTGTGCAAACAGACCTGACTCGGCAGGTGCTTTACACATGATTCTAAAGCCCAGTATCCACCAGCTCTACTTGGCCTTATACTCTACTCTATACTCAGCTCGACTCAGGTTAAACAGGGCCAATGGAAACGCTCCCCATCGGGGTAGATTAGAGCCAAGTAGAGTAGAGTGAGGCCATGTCGGGCTAGTGGAAACAGAGCTTGTTAGTTAGTAAACACTGTATGTTGTCATCAAGTAATGATCCGTAATGTCAAAGTGCAGGCATATCAATCTCAAAGCTTGATAAATAAGTAAATGATTGAGAAGTTGACAAAAAAAATAAACAAATATCTTTAAGTATACTGTTGTTCATATTGGACATTTTTAAATGTCTGTGTTTGTCTGATTTTGAAATGAAAACTGGGATAGACCCGTCAATCTCCAAACTATATCCTCAAATAAAACCAGTAAAACATTGGGGGTTTTTGACATTCAAACCACATGTCGATCAACTAAAATCAATGTAGCAACTACATTGTTCAATTTGGTTGCATCACTAGTTATAAAATGCATGTATTTAAAAGTTGACTTCTGTACATCTTCAGCTATTTCAGACAGAAGAGTGAAAAAGAGAGAACCACCTGCACTTAGCCACTCTGCTTTCCGCCCTAAGACTCAAATTGTGACTCACTCTTACACATATGTAGAGGGCAAAATGTTTTCTAATAAGATAAAGATATGGTGTGGTCTGATTTGTTCACAAAATGTTACTCTTACAAGTCTATTTCATATACCGCCTGAAACTTCTCCTTCTCCTGCAGGCATCATGTCCTGAGAGAGTGGAGATGATGAGAGGTGGTAACATGAGCTCATAATGATGTCAGGGGCCGTGCATTACACTCTTATTACACCTGCTCTACCTCAAAGGGGTACTTACTCCGCATATCCTGTAGCCCACGGTAATCTCCTGGTCTCCTTCAAAATGAGGATGGGACGAGCTACATGATCCGCAGAACACTCAATCTCATCCAGGGACAGTCCCAAGAACTCGGGTCTCATGTAGGGGAATTTGAGGGGCAGCTCTGAGCCTCCGTTGCCCCCTCCCGCAGAGCCCCCACTTGACATGATGCCACCCATGAAGCCGGCCACAGCAGACTTGACCCGGGTGAGCATGTTGTTGTTGCGGCGTGTGGATGGAGGCTCCGTGGGCCGTAGAGCAGCGCCGCGGCTGCCTTTGCCCGGGTGGCCCCCCAGCTCGGACCGCAACGGGACAAAGGCGGCGGTGGAGGAGGACTGAAGAGGGCTAGCTTCTCATGAGTGATAAGCGGGCGGGTGGGTGGCGCGGTCCGGGTGGATGGAGAGGGCTGGGCGCGTTAGCTGCACATCTTCACGGAGGGTCATTGATAACGGCACTAGCTTTGTCAACGCGGAAATACAAGCGATTAACGCATCACGTGACGCACTGGCGCCGCAGCGAAGATGCTGTGGCTTCTCCGACTACATCATCATGCTAGCTACTTTTTATTTACACATTATTTGTTATATACGTACCTTGTTATGACTTTGAATTAGTAACACATTGTAATAATTAAAGCTCATTTTACAAATATGAAAGCAGATGAATAGCACGACATATAGCTAGTTATGTGACTATGGTTAGGACAACAATTATAGGCTTATTTATACATGCACCTGTAGTACCGGCAAGTACCAGCAGATAGAGTCATATGCCATGTTAAAAAGGATGTCATACATGTATTGTCCTGTAATTTTATCTGATAAATATCACCAAACCTATTTCCAGCTCTAATTTAGTTAGATGTTAAATTTTTAATATTTACTACCACCTCCTTTCGACAACCAAAGGAATGAGGAAGTAAGGTGAGTAACTTTTTCTCCCCAGAAGTACAACATTGTATGTATTTGTTATTTGTTGCTATCGTTATGTTTTTTTATTTAAAAAAGAAAACACTTATCTTTGTTTGAAAAAGAAAAGAGAAAAAGAATTTTTTAAAATGTCATGTCTAAATGTAACACACTTTCTGAAAATAAAGAATAAAAAAAAGAAAAAAAATACATTTCATGAAATAAAGCCTTTTATTTGGCATACGTGTGTCTACACGTAGCGTATGGATTTGTGGTGCAACGAATCATGGTAGTTGTAAAACAAAACAATTCTCAGAAATGAATTCAGAATTTCCTAGTTGTAGCAACAACCTTCCGTGTCCTGTTTTGAGCAATAACTAATGACTGCCAGGAATCGTACCGTACTATTTCAAACAGCTGGATGTGGTCTCCTTTTTTCCCACATATAGAACTACATGATAACACACACGTACAGTACGCCTAATTATTCACTTCATGTCCACAAGCACCACCCCTTTCTGCCCGAACGTTTAAATATCCTCACATTACAGGATTGTTCTTAGTTTGCCTTCATCTGTTGAAGGCATCATCAAATAAATACATCTATCCCTGTTTTTTCCTGTTACACTCAGAAGTGGTGGATACTAGCATCATGGAGGACGTTCTCATCTTTTTTTCTAAAGTGAAAAACGTACCACTAGTTTCCTTGATAATGTTTTGCTGCATGCGTTTGACAGGAGCTGAAGACCACAACAGATTGGAGAGGATAGAGGCGTGTGGTTCAAAATGTTCTCAGGTAAAACAACAAAAAAAGAAAAAGGACAAAACAATATAAAACACAATATACTTTGCACAACATTGTCTTTAGTTAAGACATTACTTGGATACATTACATCTTAAAGCAAGGTTTTGCTTTAAGATTTATTGTATCCAAGTTTAATCAATGAGGTCTGCTTAAGTCTGCACAATTGAGACATTTTCGTCCCTTCTGTCTATGATTTGGTGATCTTATTTAATGAAAAACAATAGAGGGGTTTGTAAGTTTAAAAAAATAATGTTCCTTCAAATATTAGAAAAATCACCCTTGTGTCCCCAAATATGGAGGTGAATGATGCTCAAATGTTTATTGATAAGATGCATATGCATTCTTGATAGCATAATCATTTAATATAATGGACAGCTTGAACTTAATCCAATTTTTGTAAAATGAAAATACGTTTTAAGATTTGACAGTAAATTTATTTTGCCAGAAGTCTGTCATTTCATGGGGCTCAGTTGTTGAACAATCTCAGCACAGAGATAAAAATTGAGAGAACACATTGTCACAGTCTATCCTGGACGAATATTGTGTAACTTGAATGGTCACATGAATATGTAATGTGTGTACAAGTTTTCTGCCTCTGCCCTAATAATAAATAAACAGAAAAAATAAATAAACTGAAACTGAATATAGTTTGAAGAATTGGCCAATCTCCAGATTAGGGGTGGGAACCTAAGGGTACCTCACGATACGATACGATACGATACACGATACAAAGCTCACGATAACGATATTATCACAATAACAATATCACAGTATGACGATTATCGATATATTGGTCAGAAATATACAATATGCCAATTTATGGCATAAATAAAATAAAAAATACACTTTATTTCATGATAAATGGGATGGAGATGCGTATTGTAGCCATATATTGATACCAATTTTTTAAAAAAAAATCATTTTTTTTTTGTTTTTTAAAAATCGATAACGATACTTGGCAAATGCATATCGATAATCGAATCGCGCGAGAAAGTATCGCGATATATTGTCACACCCCTACCCCAGGAACCTTTGGAAAGTAATAAAGCCCTGAATTTCTGAGGTTTTTATAGTTCTAACCAAAGGTAGGCCTTTTTATGTACTGAGAATGAGTAATAATAAGGTTTATGTCAAAGCTTGGAGGGGGAAATATTAAGCATTTCTCCCACCGCTTTTCAAAATGAACTCTTTTCTTCTTTTCTCTGTAGGGTCTCATCTGTAGTATGAAGTCCCACTGTGAGTAAAACGATTTTATAGTAATCAAAAGTATTCATGTTCTGTAAAATTTTAATTGCCTTATCCATTTTGCAAAATTGTGTGCCTATTTCTGGCATATAGATATAATAAGCCTTCCTTGCAAATGTGATTCTAGAAGAGCCCTGATTGTTTTGAACATGCTGTCACAATCAAGTGAAACAGTGTGTATCCAGATGTTTTCCAAGAGGGCACTTGTAAAAACCTGCTGATATGAGTCATACTGATGAGATCAAGGAAAGGATCAAGGATACAAGTTCAAATTGAGTTTCCTCTGCAGAGTGAGGAAGAAGAATCTTGAACTAGAGCTTCTGCTTCTCCACATTGAGAGGAGCTTGTTGAGTCAGCTTGAGGAATCTGTTTTGGAAGCCTCCTGGACGCTTCCCTGGCGAGGTGCTCTAGGCATGGCTGTGGCTGTAAAGGGCCAAACTGTTGTTGTGTCCTTAGGCAAGACACTTCACCCCCTAGAATGAGTCTGGTGTGTGTGTGAATGGTTGGTAGTGGTCTGAGCGGCCGACGACACATGCTGGTTGCCTCTCTCTTCTGAGAGAGGCAACCCCGGACAGCTGTGGCTATAGTAGTTCATCCCCACCGTGTATGGAGTGAAAGAATAATGAGTGTGAGAGGAATGCTGAGAGAAAGAAAATACAGTATATTTAATAGCCAAGACCATTATACATTGAGATCTACAAATTAGCTGTCAACACTGGTAATTTTTTTCCATAAAAAGTTTGAATGTGATACCAAACTGAAATTCTGTATCATGAGTCATGACCTTATGATTTGGTCAGTTTCACACTTGTGATTGAGAAAATGTTTTTTTATGATAGTATGATAAGTAAAGGATATCATTGTTTTGTGTTCTTTCTCTTTCCGTTGCCATGTAAGAGCCCATCTGAGTTATTTCTGTTTCTATGTTTAGTTCTCTTTCCGTTGCCATGTAAGAGCCCACCTGAGGAATTCCACACACCTGCAGTATTTCAGAACCTCAGTCTGTCCACAGTCTTGAGGTGCGATGAGAGAGACAAGTGCTCAATGTATCTGAGGATCCAAACCAGACTACAACTGTCAGGTGGAACCTTTCTTTCTTCTTTCAACTACAAGTGATGAGAGAATTTGCTCACTGTGATCGCTTTCATTGTTTTTCAGACAGTATCAAAGGTGTGTCTATCTGCACCTCCAGCCCAGGACTGTTCCCAAACTGCAGAATTATCAGCTTCAGCAGAGACTCAAGAAAAAGACTCTCATCATCACAGGTACATATAATCTATAATCTTATTTTTAAACAGATTATTTTTCTTTTCTAGTTCCATTCTCTATTCTGATGTAATCACAAAACATTACCTTGAAATAATTCATTTTAAAAGAAGAACAGATAAAGCTGTATATACGGTGGCTGGGCGGCACGGTGGCTGAGTGGATAGCACTCTCGCCTCTCAGCAAGAAGGTCCTGGGTTCAAATCCCGGTCGGACCAGGGCCTTTCTGAGTGGAGTTTGCATGTTCTCCCCGTGTCTGCGTAGGTTTCCTCCGGGTACTCCGGTTTCCCCTACCACTAAAAATATGTCCAATAGTTCTAGCATGCGCCTCCTGTACTGGCGACCCCGCTCCCATCTCTGTGTGGAGTGAGAGACAATTGCCCAAAATTAACAATTGTAAACCGCTTTGAGACTCAGCTCTGCAGTGAAAAGGCGGTATATAAATAGAGATTACTTACTACTTACTATACATCTAAATAGATCTGTCTTTGGCTGCGGTCACATGCACAGCCTAAAGCCCGGTTTAAGTGAGCCAGGGCCCACTTCACGATTAGATCCGGGCTTTAGGTGCTATGTGACTGCTGCAAGTGGGCTTGGGCACGATAGCCCCAACTGCGCCCAAGCACGCTTGAAGACTTAGGACACGGTCACATAGGTTTTTACAAACGAACTAGGCCAAGTGGCCCTGATTGTCGTCACAGGGGTGTGAAAACGGCCCGCATCACATGAACGTGTTTTTGCAAACGTGCCAGAGCAACTGTGCTGTAGTACAACACTCGGTCCAGCTGGTGGCGCTAGTACTAACACCAGCGACTACCTCATTGCCCTGGTTGAGATACGCTTTTTTTCCTGTTTACATTCTGCTACGGTAGCTATAAGCTACTGTAGCTAACATTGTAGCTCAGTACGGATTGCGTTGTTTAGGGAAAGATACATCTCACACTTGTCTAAATTGCTCTGAAGCAAAGTGCAGCAGTTCAGTGGGTAACATGTGAATGCACACGTGTGTGTTTGTGTGTGTGCACGCGCCGCGGACACGAGTGCACACACACTCTCTTTAGCAACGAGCGTGAGAGCGCTGAGAAATGAATGAATGAAAAGTGTGGAGTACGAGCGTAGCGACCGCAGACAGGGAAGTTACAAGTGTGTGTTTGTGTGTTCTGGTGATTAAATAAAGACTGATTCTTGAATGTCTGAAGTGTTATTGCAATAGCACCACACTGAGAGCAAGGGTCAGGACAGAAGAGAGCTATACCCATAGGAAACGCTTCCTTTTGGCCCTGCAGCGACACACTCCCCCAGCGCCCCTCAAGCACGGTCCGGGGCTTATATGAAGGTTTGACGCAAGCGGAGAATACGAAAGTGCAGGAGAGACTGTGTGAAAATGCGTGTCACAGGAAGACGTAATGTGACGCACAATATCAAGTCCCCACCACACCTAATCCCCCCACTCCCCACCACCCGCGACACTGACCCCACTCATCCGCGCTGGGAAGCGGGCCTTGGCCAAAGTTTTTATCAGGCGCGAATGCCGTGGTCACATGGCACCTAATGCCTGGATCTAATCGCGAAGCGGGCCTTGGCACACTTTAACCGGGCTTTAGGCTGCGCATGTGACCGCAGCCTTAGGTCAGGGCCCGCTTGTAAAGACCAGATGAGGGGGGTCAGTGTGGCGGGTGGTGGGGAGTGGGGGATGAGGTGTGGTGGGGGCTTGATATTGTGCGTCACATTACGTCTTCCGTTGTGAGGGGCATTTTCACACGTCTCTCCTGAACTTTCGTATTCTCTGCTTCTTGTGTTAAACCTTTCATATAAGCTCCAGACCGTGGTCGAGGGGCTCAGGGGGGTGTGTCGCTCCAGGGCCAGAGAAAAGCGTTTCCTACGGGAATAACTCCCTCTGTTCTGACCATGGACTGTATATATTAACGGACGTAGTCACACCTATCTCCGCCGTTCTAACGAGTGATTCAAAATGGCCGCGGGGGCTGGAAAATGTGAAAAAACACATCTGCGCATGCGTCAGCCGGCACAAGCCCCATTCATTTAAATGAGTGACTTCAAAAATTCACAGCGAGTAAGCTAGAGTGGTCCAAAAAAATTCACTCCCGTCAGCATTGACACACATGTGGAACGGAGCTTTGGGCCAAGAGCCGACTTTTGGACCATCCTGTAAAGACGTTTTTGAGAGGTAAGAAGATATAATTCTTATTCTGGGTCCACCCCCATCGGCCCGGGGTAGTGTTGCAGTCAGCGCACGTCATTTTGGCCACTTTTGAGCCGGGACCCGCCCCCACTGATTCTGACCCTCTCTCTCAGTGTGGTGCTATTGCAATAATACTTCAGACATTCAAGAATCAGTCTTTATTTAATCGCCAGAACACACCAACACACTTGTCTCCTGCTTGTCTCTGGTCGCCTGCTCATACGCCACACTTTTCATTCTTTCAGTCTGATTCATTCATTTCTCAGCGCTCTTACGCTCGTTACTAAAGAATGTGTGAGTGTGTGTACACTCACACATACACACACGTGTCTTTCCCCAAACAACGCGACCCATACTCGAGTTGTTAGCTATAGTAGCAGTGCGTTAACTGGAAGAGAAACGGAAACTCAACTATCGCAACAAGGTCGTTGCTGGTGTTGGGCAACGACCACCTGGACCGAGCGAAAACATGTTAATGTGACCGCGGGCCGTTTTCACACCCCTGTGGCGACGATCCCGGCCACTTGGCCTAGTTGGTTTGTAAAAACCTATGTGACTGTGCCCAAAAAGTCTATTGTCTGCCATGCTGAGACCTTAGCACAGGACTAATGTGAGAGAACTGCCTGGTTCTAGTCAGGGCAGCATTTTTGTTTAGAGCTCGCATGGACAGGCCGTTACTGTAGTCTGACCTAATGGAGACAAAATGTACAGATAGCAAGTCTGTTCTAGTCTAAACACTATACTTCAGATACATTTATATGGCAAGAGCTGCTGCTCTTACTGTTTGGATGTGGCTGTTAGATTTCGGACGTGAAACTGACCCATAGTTTGCACTGTGGACCCGTTATATCTGTATTACTGCAAAATTGTATTATCTGAAGCACTGTACGTCTTTGTTTTGCCCACAATGTTACTACATTATCTATATTTTTGCACATTGGCACAAATCTCGAAAATAAACCATGTCCCGGTGCAATCGCTGCTGCCTTGTCCTCCTTTCTTGACTGTGTTGCTCGTCTTTGTTAGTTTGGACCTAAGACAATAAGTTTCATCTGAGTGTAGCAGGAGAACGTTGTCTTGTATCCACTCACTGTCTACTTGCGTGTGCTTCAGGTGGACATAGAAAATGACTGCACCAAGTTATCAGTGGAACAAGAAGTTCATGTAACACTGGAAACGTTCCCTTCTTATTGTGGCGCCAACTGGACTCAAGCTTATACAGCTCCAGGTAACAACCTTTTGTACTTGTCTGTGAATGCCTGTAAACGTCCTGCCTTAAGCCCTCCAAAAGTATTTTTTCTGTATTTATAGGATGCACCAAAAAGGATCTTCGTCGCCATGTTCCTGATTGCATAAGTAAGTGCAGCTTACGTACCAAAGCTGCCTCAAATAACCACTTTTTATTAGCATTCCGTCCCACTCCCATCTAAATGCAATAGACACCAGCCGGCTATCTCCAACAACTGTTTAATAACTAAACTGTTTGCTGTACTTCTTTGCCGTTTGGATCTCAGCAGGTAAACTCTTGTACAAATTAAATGCTGAGGAGAAATCTCTCACTGTCAATGTGACGGAGATGCGTGAAGACCACACATACAACCTCCGCCTGTGCCATGACAAGGGCTACGTCTGCATGAGCGCAGGACCTCTGACAGTAGTGAGTACATTGGGCAAGAAGAGATTGATTACTTCACATTTTGGATCCAACAGCTCATAATTCACTATAATACATTATGTTAGAAACCACAGTATTCTATAAAGGCCCAGCCGAATACTCGTAGCATTGGAAGGCAATACATTTAAACACACATTTTAGTTTTTGAGTGAAGTTTGGTATACTATACTTCTTTGAATGCATAGTTTGAGCCTTTACTGGATGAAAAGGATTGTATGTAATATGCATTTGCAGTGATATAATGAAATCATGAAATTATGAAATGAGAGACACAATGTGGATATTGTTGAAAACTATGAATATTGTAAAAATCATATCCAATGTATTTTATTATCAAGAATTAATCAACTAAGATATAAATGTGATGAATTCAAATATAAAATACAGTCCCTTTAAAGTAATAATGTATTATCAACATATACATAAAATATGAGCAAATAATACATTATTTTAAGTTCATATGCTGTATTTTTGGTTATTAGCATTTAACTGAAAAAGTATGAATACGTGTGTTGCTGTGAGAAGGCATACTCCATTGCTACATTCTATAGCTTTAACAACAATGTTTTTTTCAAATGTGACATTTTATCCCATTTCTTTGGTAGATAAAGAAAGAAGACCCTATTAAAAGTGCAACCCTGTCATATGCCAAGGTGGTGCCTTGTCTTTGCATTGAGGTAAATGTTCTCATAGACACCAGGACTTTTCTGTCTCTCCTCAATGGCTCTTTGGCAGTTGCATGACCAACGGATCTGGGCGCCACACTGAGGGGATAGCAGCTGTCAATCAAGCCGTCAGAATGTAGTCAACGTGCTCACTTTTTCAGCAAAATGGACATTCACAATAAGAACGAGAAGAAGGCTTACAAGGGAAAACTTAACAAGGATGCCTAGCTAAGCTTACCTCTATTAGCAATGTAGCTCCATATCACTTAGCCGCCAAAGCATAGTCAACTTATCCAGCAGTATTTCCACCAACAACAAATAAGGGCATTGTTTGTTATCTTGTGAATGGAGCCTGTGAATATACGTTCGAAGAGTTTAGAAGGAGGTTCAGGGGCTTTTTACTAATGGCTGGTACATGAGATATGTTCATTTCACCGGAAGGATCTGCTAACACCATCACAACTAGAACAGCCTTTTACACAACACCAACAAGCCATATTTTGGGTAAGAAAAATAAAGAGAGAGAGAGAGAGAAAGAAAAAATAAATAGCCTTACGAGATATGATCAAGGTCACTGGATAGGTCACTCGATGGCAATGAAACGCGATTGTTGTCATCCCCTCAATATGGTGCTTTAACCCACGTCATTTGCAAGAAGGCCAGACTCATGATATTGTTTTAATTCCACAGGGCTGGTCCAATGTCCTTGATGCGCACAGAGTCCGGGTGTGCCCTTTCAGACAGCGTAAGCATTATTCTTTTTTTCAATCCATTCCACTTTATTTATATTGCATCTTTTATAAAACAAGATTCCAAAGTGCTGCACAGAGAAAACATGTAGTATGTGTAATAGCATCATAATACACAATTTGACATTACTTTTCCCAGATGTGGAGGAACTATGGACGGGAATAACCTTTGACCCAACTGAAGTGTCGCTGTCGTGGCACCCCCAGTGTCCGCTTACCGCACGGGTCACGCTTTGCCAAAAACAGGAGCAAAACGACTGCATTGATATCCCACACACCTCACATAACGTCAGCAAGCAAAAGGTACAGAAGTCCAGATATTCCTCAATTCAGTTAAATTCAGTTCAGATTGTTTTTTGTGCTCAGAGCAATACATACAGTTGATACAACACAAAAGACAATATTTGTATAAGTGCTATTTATAGCTCAAAAAGAGTATGCTAGGTAGGAATGCTTTAGAAGGTATGCCAAACATTTCTATCTCAAAAGAGGTGGCTCGTGATAGGGCAGGAAAGGCCATCCAATGCACAGTCAAACTCCCCAGTCTTTCAAGCAAGAGTTGCTTACTTACTCCTAAAAAAGTTTTACCCAAGATCTTAATCAAGTATTAAACAAACCTGGACAAAGTAACATCTCACTATATGTCTGACTATGACCAATCACATTATTTACAACAACATCCAGAAACATCTGCAAAAGTGCTGAAATTAGAGGTTTGTTTATTAATCCTTTTTCTAAATGTTGCGATTTATGATCATAAGAGAAGCGGATTATAGCAAAATTGAAGGGTCCAATTATAGTATTATTATAATTTATTATAGTATCCAAGATTATAGCAGTATAGATGTTAGCTTGGTAAAATACAAATCATACATATCCCAAAACAAATATTTTGAGAAGGTTAACAATCAAAGACTTTATGCCTACAAACAAGTATGTGACAGGTTTGCTGTGTCAGGCTATAAAATGATTTCAATTTGGAGAGACGAGAAACAGGAAGTTGAGTATTTTATGAAAGGAGGTTTGGCGCCCTAGGTCCCGGTGCGGCCTTCGGATCGGAAAGGCTCCTGCGATGAGCGCGCACAATCCCCCGGGACCTAGGCACTGGTGGCGGCATTTGGCAGCGGGAAGAAAATTGAAGGCAGGTTGGAGGCAGGGTGAAGAGGAGGAGGGGAGGCGGTGGTTGCGAGGCTTCAGGAGGCCGGTAGTGGGAGTTGCTCCGTTTTTATGCGGCTGCGAGTCGGTACAGATGATTGGAAGGGGGCGTCTGCTGAGCGATAGGCTGGGGATGAGAGCCGGCCTGGAGGGGGTAAATTTGGTTAACGTCTACCAAATTGAATTTTTCGCGGGCTGCATTTCAATTTGGAGAGACGAGAAACAGGAAGTTGAGTATTTTATGAAAGGAGGTTTGGCGCCCTAGGTCCCGGTGCGGCCTTCGGATCGGAAAGGCTCCTGCGATGAGCGCGCACAATCCCCAAAAAGGCTGCGTGTTGATGGAGTTTTTGAAGCCTGGTTTGGAGGGGACAGACGTCGTGACTACTCTATTCTGTGACCGCTATCGCTAAGCTGTGACCGCTATCGCTATTCTGTGACCGCTATCGCTATATGCTGTGACCGCTATCGTTATATGCTGTGACCGCTATCGCTATATGCTGTGACCGCCATCGCTATGCTGTGACCGCCAGCGCAATGCTGCTAACCATTTTTTGCTATATGCTGTGACCGCTATCGCTATATGCTGTGACCGCTATCGCTATATGCTGTGACCGCTATCGCTATATGCTGTGACCGCTATCGCTATATGCTGTGACCGCTATCTACTGTGATCAATACTTGCGGATACTCGGCTGCTGGCGGCGCCTATCCGGAAGGAGTGAGCTGCGTAGAGATGGGGAGACAGGTTACAAGCAGCAGTACGGACTTTAGTTGGGCTCTGAACCCGTTGGATGACATTGGGAGGTGATCGGGGGTGAGAAATAACGGTCCGTTGAGATCTCCTTTCCGAGAGCGGAGGCGAGTGTAATGCATCGTGGGTTATTTTTGCGCGCTGGGAACGTGAGCGTTCGCATCACGTTCCGTCAGACGCTGCGGCAGCGGAGAGTGTTTGAGAAGTGCGTGCCGCCACCAGAATCTTATTGCTTCACTTACTTTGCTTCGTATTGCTTTGCTGGGAGCTTGCGAGGAAGCAAGTAGCCGTTGTGCAGCCAAGATGGCGGACGCGTCTGGGCTGATGTAGGCGGAGAAAGCCGAAGAGGACCAGCACCCCAGCTGTTGGAGAGGTGGGGGAACCCCAGCGAGGCCGCGCGCGTGGCAGCGCCTATCCTGATGGAGTGGGCTGTATAGAGCTGGGGAGACAAATTGCAGAGGAGCAGTAGGGATCTTAGTTGAGCTCTGAACCAGGTTGCTGTCATGGGAAGGTTGTTTGGAGAGAGATGTGTCGGAGCGAGCTATTATTATGTTGCAGGCGCCTTGGTCTTTGAATGTTTGAGATGAAGGTTGAAAGGGTCAGGGGACATTATGTTGGGTGAAAAAGAGCGACCTTTGTGTGATGCTTCCACTACGTCGAGATTATCGCGCATGACAGAGATCCTCTTTCTCTGCCACGTGTGATTCCACGGCGCGCAGCCACGACCACTGGGAATATCTCGTGTAGGGCAGAGGAGATGCTCTGGTGGAAGTAGCGGCCACGGCCCGGCAACCCAATGGTCCTGGAAGAATCCCCCAAAACCCACGGAAGGGGCACGTCCGTGTAGAAGCGGAGACCTGTAGGGGCAGAGACATGTCGGAGAGGGCCATTGATGTTGCAGGCGCCCTTACGCTTAGAATCTTGGGTCGGAGAGTAGATAATCAGGATAGTAGGATGGTCGGGAAGCCGCGTCTCGGACCGCATGAAGGTTGAGCGAGCAATGGTGAGACGCTTATGCAGAGAAGTCATAGAAGGCGAGCAGGAAGATGCTGCGAGGAGGGCAGACATGTACTTGGAAGACGAGCCAGAGTTCAGTGCCGCTCAGAGCCGCTGCAGGATGGGCAGCACGATGGGGGAGCCTGCGATCAGAAGAGTGAAGAATACAGGTATGGATGCCTTTGATTAGGAGTCCGATTGACGGCTCAGCGCAGCTACTCGGCCGGCTGCATCTGATAGAATCAGAAGATTAGGTAGAGAGATGAAGCATGACCGCCGAAGCGAACCTGGGAGCATAGGTACGAGGCCAGCGCGGCGCGGCATACTAGCCGGGCAGCATCCATTAGAAACAGGATAAGCTTCTGAGAGAGTGGGTTGCAGCAGTAGCGGTAGCAGCAGCAGCAGCAGTACCTCAGATAATAACGCGATAACCTGTATCAAGCCGCGGCAGCAGCAGCAGCAGCAGTAGCAGCATCCTTAGAGATTACAGTAATAATCCTGTATCAAGCCACAGCAGTAGAATGTTGTCGTAGCTGATCAGTGTTTCAGTAAAAGAGATGCAAGTGAAGAGAGATGGCAAGTAAATGAAGCGGCAGTAGTAGCGCAGTAGCAGTATGGAGCAGCAGCAGCAGCAGTAGTAGCCGTATGAAGCAGCAGCAGCAGTAGCAGCAGCAGCAGCTGCAGCGTCCGTAGATAATAACAGCAATGATCCTGTATCAAAGCCACGGCAGTAGAATGTTGTTGTAGCTGTTCAGTGTGAGGGATTTCAACAGGTTTTTTACGGTCCAAATGATTTAACAGGTTTTACGGTCCAAGTGAGGGATTAACTGAGCTCGCAGTCCAAGTGAGGAGTTTAAACTATTTTTTTTTTATTTTTTTATTTTATTCATTTATTTATTTATTTATATTTATTTATTTATGTTTATTTATATTTATTTATATGTATTTATTTTTTCATTTATTTATTTTTAAAATATAGCGTTCCAGATATAGGCAGTACCATATATGCAGTTCCATGTACTGCATAACAGTTCCAGGTATAACCGTACCATATGAGCAGTTCCAATATAGCGGTTCCATATATAAGCAGTTCCATATGAAGCAGTTCCAGATACGGTACAACAGTTCCAGATATAAGTAGTTCCAGATATAAGCATTTCCAGATATAGGCATTTCCAGATATAAGCAGTTCCGTGAGGGATTAACCTGAGAGCTCACAGACCAATGTAAGGGATCATTTTGGGAGCCGCAGTCCGAGAGAGATTTAAACAGCGCTTGCAGTCCGAAGAGAGGGATTTAAACAGAGCTCGTAGTCCAGGGAGGGATTTAAACAGAGCCTGCAGGCCAAAGTGAGGGATTAAAACTGAGAGCATGCGGTCCAATGTGAGGGATTTAAACAGCGCTTGCAGTCCAGAGAGGGATTTAAACAGAGCCTGCAGGCCAAAGTGAGGGATTAAAACTGAGAGCATGCGGTCCAATGAGAGGGATTAAAACTGAGGTCTTGCAGTCCAATGTGAGGGATTAAACGGAGCTTGCAGTCAGAGTGAAGATTTAACGGAGCTTGGTTAAAGAGAGCCTGCAGACCAATGCGAGGGCTTTAAACTGAAGCCTGCCCACCAGCACGGGGCCAACTGAGCCTGCAGTACAAAGCGAGGGGAATAAACCGTCCGCGGATCTCATACTTACCCACAGCGCCAGAAGACAAGGGACAACACAACGGGACCACGCCGTACCGGCACAAGGAGGCAGGGATGCGCACGGCTCCCACTGCACCGGGCTAGACCGGCCGTATGCAGCAGCAGGCCGCGACGAGACGAGCAGCGGCAAACCCGCGGAAAGAGCCCGCAAAGGAGGAGAGCGGCAAAGACCCACGGACCACAGCACGAGACCCGCAGCAGGTGCAGCCACAGGAGGAGCAGACCACACGCAGCAAGACAGAGGACAGCAGGGACACGCACGAGTAAGCGTGAGTAGACAAAAGCGATTCCTCCAGAACGATTCTTTGCGAGGCTGCAGGAGCTTGCGAGGCTTCAGGAGGCCGGTAGTGGGAGTTGCTCCGTTTTTATGCGGCTGCGAGTCGGTACAGATGATTGGAAGGGGGCGTCTGCTGAGCGATAGGCTGGGGATGAGAGCCGGCCTGGAGGGGGTAAATTTGGTTAACGTCTACCAAATTGAATTTTCGCGGGCTGCATTTATCAAACTCCTGTTTTGTTATTGGTGACCAATGTTCCCAAAGATGTTGATGACAAAGCTTTTCATGCATTTATGAGTAATTCAAGTTACGGTAGGCCTGTACACTGTATGCTTTTGGACAGGTGTCAACATCACTGCCTGCAATGATTACACAAAAACTCAGTCTGGCTTCCTCATTGACAGTGCAGAATTTCCTTGTTGTAAAGATATATGCTATCATAAATAAACTTTGTTTTTCACTGAGGCTTTTTTTCCCTCAAACATTGTTAATATTGGATTGGAAAGTTAAAGGAAAATTGGTTTGACATGCTGTTAAATGTGTTAATGTTAAATATTATTAGGAATGTTGTAAATCTACCCTGAATATAATTGACAGTTGTGGAATCCAAGCTAATATGTTTAGGACCTACAGTACTACTTCTTGAGATAAGCCTTAACATCTGTTTTATTTTTTACTGTCAAATCAAATTCATGAAACAGTGTATAAAAAGGACAAGCTGTGAGCTGAAGTGAACCAGGCCACGTCACCCACAGGTTTTCATTTCGTCACTTGAGATGGGAATTCTCCAGTTTTATAAATAGCCTGTGACGCATTATAGTGAAAGTGATATTATATTGAAAATGAAAGAATTATGCCGAAAGACACATTACTTGATATCTGGTGTTGCGGTAACTGAATAAAATTCTCCTTTTATATTTCAGGTCAAATTTGTAGGTGTTGAGTCACATCCTCAGCTGTGCTTGAAGGTAAAGTTAATATTACAATGGTGTATGTTGTGCTAAAGCGCTTTGTTTTTCTTGTTATGTGTTATTTGTTAATTTAAGGCTTTACAAGAATAAAATTGAATTGAATTGTATTAAGAAAAATTTAAAAATTGGATTTTTAAATTAATTCCTTGTATGTCTATTTTTCATATTTTTGTATTACTTGGGGCTAGTGCCCTGTGTACAGGGTGCAGCTATAACTGCCACCCCCGACCCAGAAATGGATTAAGGGGAAGAAAATGAATGAATGATTGAATGTATTACTTGTTTTATATACCAAAGCAAATTCCTAGTTTGCTTGCTACTTCCTGTTACTTACAATGGCAATACAAATAGTTCTTAGTCTTATTTTAGGAAGTTGGCCTTTAAATGTTGACATGAGCAAGTTCAATTTCTCCAGAGTTGGAAATAAGAGTGTCTCATAACAATATTTCAAAAAAGTAATAAAAACAACACAACAGTCCAAATTAATGAATCAAAATGCAACACTGAAATGTTGCAACTCTTGGATGGATAAAGATTGACCTTATCTGATAAAAACAGCAAAAATATGTATTATAAACAAAAACAACTTGGAATGTTAATCCCCCCACTGTGTAATATCATAACAATAAAACATACTCTAAAAAAAACGCAGTTGTATGACAAGACACTTATTTGCTCATTGCTTGTTACACTAATACTTCAATCAACCCTCAAGTTGTCAGAATTGTTATTATTTTTATGGTGAAACAGACAAACGGTGGGTCCCTGAAACATTATAAGAGATATGCTTAAATTATTTTGCTTAGATTATTTTAATAATGACCAATTATTGGTCTTTTATTTATATTTTATATTTGAATTCATCACTTAGATTATTTTAATAATCTAAGCATAATCTAAGTACTGAAGTAGCTAGTACTGCTTAGTTCCCTGAAAACGTTTTGGCGGTAGACTACAGAGGTCACACTTTGTGCTTTGGTCTCCGGAGAAGTTAGTCCAGTGTGAGTCAAGGTGAAAGCCCCTTTGTCTCTGTTGATGGTCTGTGTGCCCCGCTTTCTGATTTCAATCGCCTCTTGTATCCATCTTTTGTGTTTGTTTTCTTCCATTCTACATGTCAACTCCAACAAAGGCTGAAGTTTACCACTGAAACATGTCAGGAAATTAAGCTGTACTAGCTTCTTTACACTCTCAGTCCTGTTAAACAAACCTCATAAGCCTTAACCATAAACAAGAAATAAATTACTTTTAACTAGTTATAAGAGATTTCTACAACCATTCATCCATCCATCCATTTTCTTCCGCTTTATCCGTTGCCGGGTCGCAGGGGCAGCAGGCTAAGCAGAGACGCCCAGACTTCCCTATCCACACACACTTCCTCCAGCTCGTCCGGGGGGACCCCAAGGCGTTCCCAGGCCAGCTGGGAGACACAGTCCCTCTAGCGTGTCCTTTGTCTTTCCCGGGAGGAGGGACGTGTCCGGAACACCTCCCCAGGGAGGCGTCCAGGAGGCATCCGGAACAGATGCCCGAGCCACCTCAACTGGTTCCTCTCGACGTGGAGAAGCAGCGGCTCTACTCTGAGCTCCTCCCGTGTGACTGAGCTCCTCACCCTATCTCTAAGGGAGCGCCCAGCCACTCTGCGGAGGAAGCTCATTTCGACCGCTTGTATCCGCGATCTCGTTCTTTCGGTCATTACCCAAAGCTCATGACAGTAGGTGAGGGAGGGAACGAAGATTGACTGGTAAATCGAAAGCTTTGCCTTTCGGCTCAGCTCCCTCTTTACCACAACGGTCCGATACAGCGACCGCATCACTGCGCACGTTGCACCGATCCGCCTGTCAATCTCACGCTCCATTCTTCCCTCACTCGTGAACAAGACCCCGAGAGACTTGAACTCTTCCACTTGAGGAAGGACCTCTCCACCCACCTGCAGAGGGCAAGGCACCTTTTTCCGGTCGAGCACCATGGCCTCGGATTTGGAGGTGCTGATTCTCATCCCAGCCGCTTCACACTCGGCTGCAAACCGCCCCAGTGCATGCTGCAGGTCCTGGTTCGTTGGAGCCAACAGGACAATATCGTCTGCAAACAGCAGAGATGAAATCCTGTGGTATCCGAACCGGACCCCCTCCGACCCCTGGCTGCGCCTAGAAATTCTGTCCATAAACACAGTGAACAGAACCGGTGACAAAAGGCAGCCCTGTCGGAGGCCAACATTCACCGGGAACAGGTAAGTAAGTAAGTAAGTAAGTAAGCTTTATTTATATACCGCCTTTCACAGACCAGAGTCACAAAGCGGTTTACAATTGTTATTTTTGGGCACTTGTCCTCTCACTCCATACAGAGATGGGAGCGGTCTGACTTACTGCCGGCAATGCGAACACAGCTCTGGCTCCGGTCATACAGGGATCGGATAGCCCTCAGCAGAGGACCTCCGACCCCCAAAGGACACCCCGGGGAACACAGTCGAACGCCTTCTCCAAATCCACAAAGCACATGTGGACAGGTTGGGCGAACTCCCATGAACCCTCGAGTATCCGATGAAGAGTATAGAGCTGGTCCAGTGTTCCGCGACCGGGACGAAAACCACACTGCTCCTCCTGAATCCGAGATTCGACCATCGGCCGTAGCCTCCTCTCCAGTACCTTGGAGTAGACCTTACCGGGGAGGCTGAGGAGTGTGATCCCACGATAATTGGAACACACCCTCCGGTCCCTCTTCTTGTAGAGAGGGACCACCACCCCGGTCTGCCACTCCATTGACACTGCCCCCGATCGCCACGCGATGTTGCAGAGACGTGTCAGCCAAGACAGTCCCACAACATCCAGAGACTTTAGATAATCAGGACGGATCTCATCCACACCCGGAGCCTTGCCACCATGGAGGCTGCCAACCACCTTGGTGACCTCAGCCAGGGAGATGGATGTATCCGCCCCAACATCCTCAGCCTCTGCCTCTGTAATGGAGGACGTGACGGGGGGATTGAGGAAAACCTCAAAGTATTCCTTCCACCGCCCGAGAATATCCCCAGTCGAGGTCAGCAGCTCTCCACCCGCACCGTACATGGTGTTGGCAAAGAACTGCTTCCCCCTCATGAGGCGCCGGATGGTTTGCCAGAATCTCAGCCTGACAGCATCCCTTACTGCCGGTGTCCACCACCGGGTTCGGGGGTTGCCGCCGGGACCAGCACCAGAGACCTTGCGACCACAGCTACGAGCCGCCGGATTGGCGATTGAGGCAGAGAACATGGTCCACTCGGACTCCATGTCCCCTTCCTCCGCCGGGACCTGGGAGAAGCTCTGGTTCAGATCAGGGGGGCCGTTCTTCCCGATCACCCCTCTCCAAGTGTCACTGGCGTTTCCTACATGGGCGTTTAAGTCCCCCAGGAGAATAACGGAGTCGCCGGGCGGTGCACCGTCCAGTACCCCTCCCAAGGACTCCAAGAAGGCCAGGTACTCTGCACTGCTGTTAGGCCCGCAGGCCGTCACAACAATGAGAGACTTGTCCCCCACCCGGTGGCGGAGGGACGCGACCCTCTCATTCACCGGGGAGAACTCCAACACGTGGCGGCTTAGATCAGGGGCAATGAGAATGGCCACCCCAGCTCGCCGCCTCTCCCCGCGGGAAACACCAGAAAAGTGGAGCGTCCAACCCCTCTCAAGCAGTTGGGTTCCAGAGCCCAAGCTGTGTGTGGAGATGAGGCCGACTATCTCTAGTCGGTATCGCTCAACCTCCCCCACGAGCTCGGGCTCCTTCCCCCCCCAGTGAGGTGACGTTCCACGTCCCAAGAGCCAGATGTTGTGTGTGTGGACTGGGTCGCCGAGGTCTCTGCCTTCGACTGCCGCCCAGTCCTCTCAGCACCGCGCCACCACGGACCCCTCTGCAGGTGGTGGGCCCACAGGAGGGACTGCCCATGTCATCCCTTCAAGCTGAGCCCGGCCGGGCCCCGTGGGCTAAGGCCCGGCCGCCAGGCGCTCGCATACGAGCCCCGACCCCAGGCCTGGCTCCAGGGTGGGGCCCCGGCTGCGCCATGCTGGGCGACGTCACTGATCTATATATTGTGCTGTCCATGGTGGTTTTTGGACCGCTCTTCGTCTGACTCGTCACCTGAGACCTGTCTGCCATGGGAGACCCTGCCATGGGAGACCCTACCAGGGGCATGAAGCCCCAGACAGCATAGCTCCCAGGATCATCCGAGTACTCAAACTCCCCCACCACGTTAGGTGGCAGTCCAGGGGGGAGATTTCTACAACCAATAACAAATAAAAATTAGATTTAAAAAATTATATTCATTTAGAGAACTGTGTGTGAGAAGCTTGGTAATTTAACTGGGTTAATACAAATCTAGGTGTAAATATTGAGTGGGCTACATGCAGATATGATTAAAACATTAATAGTGTGGTTTTGTAAAATGATTTTGTAACATGACTGTAATAACTAAAATGAACCTCACTTCCAAATGTTCTTAAGCTCGTACATCAGGCCTATGTCAATTATGTGTTCCAAATCACCATCTGCAGGTCTGCACTATATGTCTTTTTTAGCTATTTAGGTGATAAGGCACACAGACATACCACATTCGCTGTGATTGGAAATGTTCTCCTAAAGTATATTAGTAATTCACACAAATAAAGTACCTACAAAATACATATGACTTGTAAAAGGCTCACCTGTTTTTTTTTCTCCTTATGTATTTTCAAGTTTTCTGTCGAAGCTGAAGACTGGATCAGATGTCCTTTTGACAATAGAATATTCACAGGTATTTTTGTTTGTTTGTTCACTTCTTTTTTCTATTCCTTATTCCTGAGGTTGTGGTAGCCCAAAAACTAAGGGCCTCATTTATCATGCAAAAGTAATCAGCACACCTTGTAGCAAACCGATTTATAATGTACATTTCCTGTTAAACTAAAAAAAAAGAAAAAAGGGAAATTGCAGAGGTTTAATTGTGCACCTTGCATTTCAGAACCTTGATTGATAAATGAGGCCCAAGTCTCTTTTGATGCGTGATGTCTTGAAACAAATATGTGCTGGGTTGATGATGGAGTTGCTCCATATTTCACCTTAACTGTAATGATTCTATTGGCTTACAGTGTGGGAGGTTTCCAGAAACGATAAAGGCGATGTGGTGCTGTTTTCCCCTGCTCCTGGGATCTTCTCTGTGGACTTGTGTGACCTGGAGTCTGTGCTGCCTTCACAAACCTGCCTGTCCACACAAGGCTTCACTGTGGAAGTGGTAGGTGTGCCTGGTATGCCATGGGACATGCCGTGACAAAAGTACAAAAGAGAATCAAAGCAGTTGGCTCACATTCAGTTAAATGTCATGACAGTTATTTGCAGAGGGAACCCTCATTGCACAAAAACGAGCATGTCCTTAAAGTCCTATTCTTAAAACAAACATATCCTTAGTCATATTTTAAACCGGGGTTTCTTTGTCATATTTTTCACAAATACTGCAATTTTAGAATGTCCACTTTTCTACTAATCCTGCCCTAAGTGTATATATATTGAGTGTACTGTATATATCCATGCCAGATGTGACATGTAAATTTCTCCTTTGTGAGATCAATAAAGTAAATCTTATCTTATCTTAACCCTGCACTATTTAATACATAGTCTATGTTATAGAGAGATTGATATTGAAGAATTTACAGCTTGCTAAGAAACACAACAGCTACTTTCTTACTGTTTATTGTATATTTTGTGTGTTCCCTGTGTGCTCTTACTACTGTCCTATATGTGCGATGCAACATTGAAATTTCTCCACTGAGGCAAGAGGATCCCTTATCTCTTATCTTAAAAGCTCAGAAATGGGATGAGGATTTTGGAGGTGATCTTCTCCATGTTTTATTATTTTAGTTGATTTGACCTTAATTTGTATTATATTTATTTAAGGATAGCCTTATTGAGATGGATCACCTCTTTTTAAGGGGTTCCTTTCTAAAAAGGATGGCTGACATGTTCAACAATTCAATCTGGAGAGGCTTCATAGACAAAATGCAGTTTGAATGTTTTTACTGTAGGTAGCTTGGCGCCCTAGGCCCCGGTGCGGTGCTCACTCACTGAGTGTGCGCTCGATCCCCCCGGGACCTACTGGTGGTGGCATTCGGGCAGCAGGAAAGAGCGAATGCTTGAAGCAGGGAGAGAGAAGGAGGAGGAGGGGAGGTGGTGGTTGCAGGCTTTGGGAAGGCCGCAAAGTGGGAGTTCTCTGCTTTGAAGCTGCTGGCCTGGCCGGCATAGATTGGTCGGAAATGGGCGTTTGCTGAGCGATAGGCTGAGGATGTGAGGCAGGCCTGGAAGGGATGGGCTGTGGCTGTCAGTCTTTCAGAATGAACCTCCGCGAGCTGCATTACAATATACAGTTTAGCAAACAAAGTACAGTTTGATTTTTTATTTAACCAGGAAAAGACAAGACAAGCAACACAGGTTAAAGGGACAGTATGCACGATGCACAATTAGTGGTATAATAAAGCTAGAATTGAACATTCTACACAGCTCCTCAACATTGATTACTAAGGGAATCCATCTTCTGGAGTTTAGATAGAATGGGTACGTAGTTTGTACCTGGTATCATTTGCATTGCTCTGTTTTTGTGAATGTTGCCAAAACCAGCCATATTTCACATAAAAAACTGGCAACCCTGATTGGGTAAACTCAAATATTATTGTGTCCATTGTGTTTTTCTTTTTAAATAAGTCAACTTTAAACTTTTGTTCAAAAAGGGTCATTTCTATTTGGGGACACTATAAAATGTAAATATGATTTGCAATCCCTTTGAAATATCACATTGATAACTTAAGTGATCCTTTTCAACAGAAACACCTTGATTTCAGTGTGATCTGGATCTCCTTCTGGTTCTGTTTAATTATTTGAGATCTGCGCTCTATTAGTGATTTTCTAGTTTGATCATGCAAATGTTTTGGTTCATATTTTCCAGGAGAAGATGGCATCAGTTGAAGTACCACTACCGACAGAGATTCTCCCCCAAACATTTTGCCTTCAGGTTCGTTTGTAACTCGCAAATGTATCTCACAAACTCATAGTAAATACAGACAGGTGAAGTTCTGAAAATGGTTCAAATGTTCTTTCAAAAGTTCTTACAATGTGAAACAGTTTTCATGGACGACACATTACATGCAAAGTGAGATAAAGCAAGCCTTATATTTCATATAATGTTGATGATTGGCTCACAGCTTGTAAAAAAAAAAAACAGAACATTTTAATATTTACAAAATAGAATGTAAACAAGAATTGTCAAAATAATGGGAGCTTGGGAGACTGTATGTCACTTATCATGTAATATGGTTTCACATTTTAGGTTGGATTACAGATATAACAAACTGAACGGGATTCTAATGTTCACTTAGAAAAATTTTCACTTTGTTCTTGCTGTACCCAAACAGGTTAGAAGGAAGGATCTACGCTACTCAACAACACATGTTCACTGTTTTGATCAGAGTAAGTAATGTCTTTGAGGTTTTATGCGATCAAATATTTACATTTGGTTTCAATACTTGCATCAGAAGTGCACTCTCACCACATGTTTTCCAAACGAAGCCTTCTGGAGTTGTCCACTTAGTCCTGATGATAGCTGGAGTCATAATTGTTAAAAGCTGACTTCTGGGAAAGGTTGCACAAGATTGCTGGGGCATCTGCACAGTGTCCTCATAAACAGTTGTGAATCTTATTTCCCCCAATTTTGTGTTTGTTTTACTAAGGTAGTTACAATATGGTGTAAGACAATTTATATTTGCGGCCGACACACAAAAAAAGGAGCTGCCGGCTAATCTAACTTAGGGTTTGTCTAACTTTTTAGTTATGGACACCCAAAATATGCCTTGAATATTGTCACAACCCCCAATGCTAAAACGTGCAGTTTAGGATTCATGTTAGTATAGCATCAGAATCCGAGTAGCACAGAGTCAAAGCACCCAGCACACATGAACGCTGTTCCTGTAATAACGCAGCTTAAAGTGTGAAAGCATTACACCACATTAGGGCTCAAGTCTGTGAGCGATTTGCCCGCCATACTTGACAAGCACTAGCTTCCCCAAACTAGCAATTAGCAAACCTCGACCGTCGTTGCATTACATGGCCCTGGCTGCGTCCCGAGTCTTCTACAACGCCCTTTCCTCATCTGATTTTCTCTTATTTGCCACAACAGGGTGAGAGGGTGTAAACGTGAATTTGACATTTTAGGTGTTATTAAAAATCCAACTCAATAACAACTGACAGGTGCGCAAAAAGGACAGGGCGGCTGATGAACTCATCCTTTTGGTTTGAGGGGGGCGCCTGGTGTTCCCAGACGTTAAGTGTCTTGCCAAGGGCACAAGGACAGCAGACATCAGTGGGAGTCAGTGAAGAAAGTCTTGTGGTGGGCTCCAGGCTCAAAGGCCAATGCTCTACCAACTGAGCCAATGTCGCCCACATCTAATTTGTCTTTCTAAAAAACCCACAAAAAAACCATCCCCACTGCTTAAATTAGGTAAGGATTAAACAAAAGTAACCGCTCTAACCTCTGCAGAGTGTTTAAACCGTACAAATGCGCTGCTCCGAGTTGTTTATCTGTCCATACCATGGTCAAAACATTCACACACTCACATTAGAAAAACCTATTTTTTCCCCACTTTCAAAAAACATGTCAGTGGAAAAGAACTACAAAGGACTACTATTATTTGGACGGTATCCAAATGTGAATTACCTCATCGGCTGACATGTGTCGGAGTGTGTGAGTAAGTAAGTAGGTAAATCTTTATTTCAGACTCAAGATCCATATAAAAGACAATACAAAGACACCTCAAGAGACAAGTGTCCTGATTGTTTTGACCATGGCAGAAGTGGATAGAACAACGAGGAGCAGTGCGGTTATGTGTTTTTTAAGCACTGTTCCCTGGAACGTTAATGTGCCTTGAGATGTTGTTTGGTGTGGCTTTGGAAATGATCCAATACCACCTAATTAATCCAAATAGAAAATAGAAAAGAAATAATGCCAGAAGCTTTGAAATGAATTTGTTTGCACTTGTTTCATTCTTCTACACAATACACTACACTACTTTGTATTGTTAAAAAAGGCTGCAGAGTTTCCTTTTTAGGATCGGTTTGAGCTGCAATTGTATTCAATGAAAAAAGTGTGCCACAGCTCAAAAAGGTTGGGGAACACTAATTTAAACACACACTTCTCCACATTGTTTAATCCTTACTTAAAGCAGTATTGATTTGAAGTATCAAAAATGTTGATACTTTTCTGAATGTTATCTAAAAATCATATCATCCCTGGGTAGTGTCTCCCGCCCTCCACTGCTCTAACCACCAACCAGCAAACATCAAGAGCTGCAGACATACGAAGACCTCTAGCTCTAATGTTTGTGTTGCTATTTTGCGGTTGATTTCAATGTTGTATTTTTCCCACAATTTCAGATTCAAAGACATCCTTTCCAACATGGATCATCGCATCAGCTGGAGTGCTGCTGGCTCTCGTCATTCTTACCATGTTGGTGCTGCACATTTGGTTAACCGGTTAGTTCCCTTTATGAGGCTCAATTCATCAAGCAACTTTTCTAAAATTAGATATGATAACAATTATGTGCACACCCTGTTCCTTTTGACGTGGTATACTGTATGAAGTATTTCGCTTTTGTCTCATGAATTGCTTATGATGGCTGAGGTTTTAAAGGTACATTGTGTAATTTTTACTGCCATCTAGCGTTGAGATCATATATTGCAAGTTTACTTCTACTACCAACACTATGGAAGCCTCCGAGGACCATTTGTCATGTTTGACATTGCTCCCTTACACCCGGTAATTCACCGGACCACTAATGAAAGAATTGATAAATGACCAGATCTCTCCAAACACTACTGCGCCACAAATGTGCCTTGATGCACGTGCGCGGAGGTGGACATGTAAACAAAGCCTGCGGCACGCGCTGCACAGAGGTGCTTTACCATGATCTATTATAATTAGGGCTGTCAAACGATTAACATTTTTTAGTTGATTAATCGCACAGAAATGGTGAGTTAACTCACGATTAATCACATTTTTAACATTCTATTTCAAATCCACTCCAATTGAAGTTAAATGAGATTATCAAATATAATGACACATTGTCATTCATACCAAATGTACTTAAATCTGATTTGCTCACAACCCTTTGCTTTTGGGCACAACCAAAATGAGCTGTTAATGAAAGGGGGATATTTACATACCCCACCTTTAAATCAGCGAGTTTAGTTTAGTTTAGTTTCAGGAGGAGACAGGACACTTCCGTGCTGTATTTGCATGCACAGGTTACGCACAGGTTGCAAAGACACGAACACAACATGCAGACAATATTTCTGTGGCGTATATGGACTCACAGTATATGACCATGTTACTACTGCGGCGCCACTCACTCACAGCCGCTCACAGCCATGTTGTTGTTAGCCGTTCACAGCCAGAGCGGCTGCGGAGGAGGCGGACTTCAGTTCACAGCAAACAACAGCCCCGTGGTCAGCCGCGTATTCTTTTAAAACATGAATTCCCAGAGGGCCTACCTGCTCTGATTCCATCTCACGCGCAGCATTCTGAGTGATATTAGGGATAAATGGGCGGGTCATTCGGACATGCGTTAATGCGTTAAAAAAAATTAAACGCGTGAATTAAAAATGTAATTAACATGAGTTAACGTGATAATTTTGACAGCCCTAATTATAATACATAGTTTGACAAACGCTGTGAGAAGAGAAGAGACGCCTGGAGGAATGGGAAATCTGTTAAAACCACAATGATCCGAGAAGCCAGGAGGACATTGCCTTGGACATGGACACAGCCGCGGCAGAACTGCAGCTAAAAACTCAGATTATTAGCTTTCACCAGATTATTAGCTTTCATCCGCATCACGGTAAGAAAACAGAAGTCAGAACATCCTGAGACCTGTTTTTCAGATTCTGCCTCGTTCTCATTATTGTCAGTGTGAAAAAGTTACGTATTGTTCACGTGTGAGTCTTTTGTGTACAAACTACACAATGTGCCTCCTGTTGTTTTAACTCTGCCTTTTGGTGCGTGTGGTTTGCAAGGTTGACACTTTGGTGCTATGACACCGGTTTCTAGATTTTTGCATGATCCTTTTTTAATAAGTTGTTGTTCAGGTCGTTCTTTTACTTAACTCTGAGGTCCTCCGCTCTCATGGATATTTATAATTCGAATTCTAAGTCTATGACAACATTTCAAAAAACATGGTGGAGGTAAATATTCTTAAAAAGGTCACATTTGGAATTGGTTATATGTTTTTTTTCATTTGGACCTTCTGTAAAAATTACATAGAGTGGCTTTAAAGCAGGGTCACCAAACTTTCAATAAATAGAACCATGTAAATAAAATCCATCCAACTTCCATCACCTCACTCTCAAGACAATTTGGTTCTATCACTAGTTTTCACATGCTTGCATTTTTTTTTACCTCTATCACGCCTTTAGATCAGCTTTTTCAGACAAAAAGGTGAAAAAGAGAGGACTACCCTCATTCAGCCAATTAGCTCTCAGCCCAAAGCGTCAAATTGTGACTCATGGGGCTCTAAGTTGAAGACAGCATGTTGTGGTCTGATTTAAAGTTAGGTAACACAGAATTTTTTTCTGTTGTTGTTGTGACATTGTTAATAAATCTAATTGTTTCTTATAGTTCACCAGAAAATGATGGTCAAGAGCAAAGACTCCCCATGCCTCTATGAAGCTCACAAAGGTGTGTATTTAGTTATTTGCAAAGTGAGAATGTCCAAACAAAAGACATAGCACTGGCTTGTCCTTTCTGGAGATATTAATCCTTTGGTTTGCACAACCATTTGGTGGACCATTTCTTGAGGGACTATATCTTCTTGAAGCCTGGTTGGAAAATCCACCTGATTGGGGCATCGCTCTTGGTTTTACCATAAAACAGCATCTCAACCATATCTTGAGATGCCAAACTAGAAGTTTAAAAAAAGTCTTTTATTAGTGCTCCTATATCTCATAAAATTAAATTAAATTAAAAAAATTAAATAGCTTTGTTCAAGGAGTCAACATTAAAGGGTTAAGATAAGAACGGACTTTAAATATGGAATTAGAAATATTATGGCATAATATGGACTATTGTGCTACTGAAAAAGATGCCGTGCGGTGGAACTGCCAAGACGTAGTTGCCTGCCAAAGTCGCACCCATGATAAAACTCAATACCATGTGTTATATTCCTCAGATGTTCCTCCTGTGTGTGTGGTATCTGCTCCAGAGCCCGACTCAGCTACAAACAATAACAATGAAAAGGTCAACCTCTTATCTGACTGAATACAAATATTCATGAAGAGAAGTACAGTCAAATGTAGAAATATTATCCACTAAGTTACAAGTTCTCCTTATAATAGCGCCCTGAATGTATTTTTTATGTCGGAAAACCTTCTGCTGTGTTCGTAAGTCACATTGTGTCTCTTTTATACTGAACTAATCCCTGTTTTATTGTGATTTATTTTTAATGAATTGTGAATCTCTGTTGTCTGAGACATTGTTGTATTCTGTTGTCAGAATTAAGTTTGATATAAAAACGCTTGAAATAAATGAAGGTGAATCAGGTTACGTGTTTTTTCACCTGAAAGTCATTCTTTCATAATTGTTGTATTAATTATTGACATATATGATTATGCAGGATTCTGAGTGTCACAGTTAAATACATAAATACTTTATAGAATAATCCAATGAACTAATGTATTTGGAAATAAAAAGATAATTAGATGGTCAATGTATATTTAATTGTCTATATATTTCCAGTTATTTGTATTTAATAGATAGTTGAATGAATCCTGTATATGCTTATTGTAGGGCTGGCGATATGGCAAAAAAGGAAAATCTCGATTTTATTTCCTGCTTTAGACGATTTTCATTTTCATTAAAGTCACCGAAGACAGACTTTTCCCTTAAAAACACGTTTTGATCTTTCTGCTCAATATTCAAATTTAAAAACTATTTTTTATTTGTTTCCCCCAATACGTATTATAAAAGTCTTGTACAGACTGTGCTGATATTGCGAGTATAATTCATGTACTGCTGGAACTCTCACAATATTCGATTGCACAATTTTCACATTTTTCACAAATTCGATTTTTTCAAAAGCCAATAAATTGCCTAAATTCGATTTATTGCCCAGCCCTAGATTATGATAGTGTATTTATGTATTTAATTGTGGAACTCAGAATCCTCCATATTATATTGCCCTGGTTTATCCTTTATAATTCAAGCTAAAAAAAGAGACAGGAAAGGACTGCAGATATTGAAATTGAAATGTTGCATTTTGTGTCTGGAATAACCAAGAGAGGATTGTAGTGATGATGGCATTTTTTTTGTTACTTTATTATTCAATTAAATGTTTAAACATGTTTAAGATTGGAATACGGCAACAATAAGTAGACATACAAAAATGAATATATTATATTTTTGATTTTTTGTTTGTACTTTGCACTTTTTTGCTATATCCGTATGTTGTGTTTCTTCAGAATATCGCATACTGTAGGTCTTTTCATTAAAGTTGGACACCGCCCAGAATAAATATTAAATGTGTGACAAGGTATGGGATGATTTTTATTTGTACAAGGACACTGTACAATAAACATTAGCCAAGAGAGATGCATTACATCTTACAAGGTTGTAGCAGCAGAGCTAATTTACACCTGCAGTCCCTGAGAAGGTTGTTGTAAACGGTACAATAAGAGTAGATATATACATGACCATACATTTAGCAAGCAGAAGTTACAATTTATTTTACCATACAGGTTATAATAAAACCACCCAGCCCCCATTCTTCACTATCTCTATATATATTCATAAAATGAGCACACACTAACACACATAGGTACACACACACAAACACTCCTCACACATGGGAACAGATTTGTCTTTCCAAGTGCCATGTTTTTGTCAGACGTGTGAATACTTTCTCCCACATTTCTCTTGATCATTCTGGATTTTTGAGAGAAATTTTTTCACAGCAAACAACTTCTGAAATTGAGGAAATCAGATTCAAATGCATTTATTTGCCATTTGCAGTAAAACCACATAAGCAAGATCATTGAAGTGCTAGCAGTGTTAGAATAGCAAGATGTCCTGCATCTCAACGAACGATATCATCTGCCAGGGGGAAGAAGCTGGAACATGGCTTTTCCAGGGTGGCTTGAAGAGTCATTGATTATTCTTAGAGCTCAGCTTAAAAGTCAGGATTTATAAAGAACCTCCAGAACAGGAAGCACATACTGTAGCTCACAGTCATCTTTGTTTAGAGCTCTCCTTTTTTGTCTGTGATGTTACCAAACCACACAGTCATAGTCTTTCAATGGTGCAACAACAAAAGTTAAGCAGAATCTTAGAGTTAGTGTTTGTTAGTTAAGACCCACACCCTGATATCTCCCTTGTTTCCTGCACTAGTTTCAGTGAAGCACTAAACATTTACATATTCAAATGGGATTGCACAAAGCAGCAGTAGCGCAAGGTCACAATAATGGCCATGATGAATGAGTGGCCAGCATCCAGAGCATACAAGGAAATGACTCCAAAGCTCTTTACTCAGATACATGATTCTGCGTACATCTTCCTGATATTTTGTTCACACAGAAACTCCTGCATGCAAATGTTAGCTAAAGTGAAGTGTTCTATCTTGGGTATACATTTGCATTGCTATCATCAAATATCTAATGTGGGAAGGAAGTTTATGTTGAAAAGGCAATAGATACATTATATTATGTGCTTCCTTGTGTACAGAATAGATTCATGTGAATTTGTTAAGCCAGTTCCAGTTAAGGTGGAAGGGGGAAAGTAATGCTGTCTTCACAAATTTTATAATTATCGGGCAATTATTTCAGATCTTGTGCATGCGATTTAACCGAAGGCAAAGCCAATAAATACATCTTCATTGGACATTTGCTTTAGATTAATGTCTGACTGACATTATTCAAGTCAGGTATTCATCTAGTTGTGTATTTATTTTGAATACTTATAAACTCAACATATATGTTCCTTAATCACAGATATACATAATCACAGGTATATCATGTAATTGGAAACCTGTGTTTCTTTTTAGGGAAAAAGGCTTCATTCAAAACAAAGAAAGGGCTCAAAAGGCAGGAATGTAAAATACAATGATATAACGATAATGAAAGCCCAAGCTGAAAAAAATGGGCAAAAGAACAGGGTACACATAGAGACACGAAGAACCACAGGTGAAGCACATAGGGCGGGCAGACAATCAACAGGAAATAAAAAATAAAAGAGAACTAATTTAGCAAAATAGAATCAGGTACATACTGTATCAACAAGTGCACACCATGACATTGATTTGACTATAAAGTATTTTTGTCACTTTTTGTGAGTAAAAGTTGAATAATTACAACACAAGTTGAATAATTGATGATGATAATAACACTGGGTAACAAAAAAAGCTGAATTAGACTAATTTTGATGCTCTGAGTCCGAAAATGACCTTGGTTTTGCTCAATCAGGTCAGGATTTTTTGCTACAGAAATATTTTTTTCAATCGATTTTGCGTAAAAAACTAATTTCTGCGGATCATCAGCTGAGAAACCCTTGACGTTTTTTCCGTTTTCCTCAAGAAATAAAAGTCAACGTATCCAAAGTCATTCAGTTTTTATTTACTCCATCAAATTTGATAAGCAGAATTCATATAACGTAGACGTACATAATCCGTAACACTATGGCTGTATCTCAAAAAGTTGACCTGATAGAGCAAAATGCATGTGATATTCGGACTCAGAACACCAAAATTAGTCTAAATCAGTTGAGAAACCCCTGACCATTTTTTGGCTGTCAACTTGTGTAATAATAATAATAATAATAATAATAATAATAATTAAGGCACTAAAGTCACCTTACAAAATTTTCACACATGCAAAATGGCAAAATGATGACCAATTTACATGCATACTGGTATTTAATTTTTTGCTACTGTCAATCATATTTATTCCACACTAAAATACTGACTCACTGCTGTAAAAAAGATACAATATAATAGATATACCTTAAAAGGTGCCAGAGACCTGTTTCACAAGTTCTCGCTTGTGTTCTTCCCAATCAATTGCTCAGAGTTACAAATGTATTTTCTGCTTGTGCCTCATCATCCTGTGGCGCTGAAACCTGATACATTTCAATTTCAATCTGAATATTTCTCAATCTCGATGATCAATTTCAATGGGGTTTTTCTGCTTTGCATTTCTTGGCTAAAACAATGCACAATTGAATTTCTCACAAAAAACTCCCTTGCTGTTTCTCACCTGAACAAACCACCCTAAAATCTAATCTTGATCTGATAAGCCATGTCAGGGGAAATGGCCGCACAATATGTGGCCATTTGTTTCCTGCTTATAGTGGATCTATGCTGGTATGGATGTTTTTTTTGTTTTTGGTTAACACTTTGCAGCAACTCTGATAAAAGCTGAACTCATCATTATGCCAATATGCAGGACTCAGTGATTTTCCACTTGAATGTTTTGGTTATGTGAAGACCGAAGCTAATAGCACTCTGGCAGGTAGTGATTGGACTGTTTTCTATTCCTCCGCTTTAAGATCACATGCATGATGTTAAATTCTTGTCCGTGTCTTGTCTTAACCATCAAATATAAAACATGTCTTCTGTCTGCGACTCTATCCCGATCCACATCTTATCTCATTTTCGACACTAGGACTGCGTATTGTGTTTGGTCATCATCAGTAAGGATTGTAACAGTGAATAGATTTTGACCAAGATTTATTTGGGTGTGTTTATAAAGAAGAAGGTCCTTTATTCATCCTACAATGGGGAAATTTCAGTTCGATGCATACTGTACACATACACTCACACACACATACTCATACACATCAAGGCTAGCAGCGAACATCACTTCTGCGCTCCTTATAGGCAAAGTGGGTTAAGTGTCTTGCCCAAGGACACGACAATAGCAAACATCAGTGGGAGTCGGTGGAGAAGGTCTCGTGGTGGGCTCGAACCCACAACCTTCAGGCTCAAAGGCCCAAAGGACAGTGGCTCTACCAACTGAGCCACTGTCGCCCCACTTTATCATCCATACATCATTTGTCATGTTCTTGGATTTGACAAATCACATTTCATTGTGTGAACTATAAGAATCAGAGGAAATAAGTTGAAAACATGCATTCCCAGTATTATATTACCTTTCCACAGACGCTATTCCAAATTATTATTTATTTCAAAACCATATTTCATTTAAAAAAAAAAAAAAGTATCCAAAAGTGCTGTTTAGCAGTGATAATAAAAATAATAATCACGCAAATCA